TTCTTCTGACTTCATTTATTTTAATATCCCAGAATAGCCTCTTGAGCTATAAGTTTGATGATCAGGGAAACTATTTTTAGCAGGATGAGTACTCTGGGTGACGGATGTTAGCTATACTTTATTTTGAGAAGGACAAATTGTTAAAAGGATTGATAGTACTAATGGTATTTTAAACTAAAAGCTGTGCCAAGGCAAATGAGGCAGGTAGGTATGAAGTTTGAGACAGATCAGGGATGTGTTTCTGCCAGTTTAGCTAAAGGCTGTCGAGGCCTCCCACAAGATAAAAGAGAGAGAGGCCACAACCCAGACATAGTGATCTTTTAGGTAGTTTACGCACTTCACCCTAGGGGAGGCTTGTTAACTGAAAACTGGGGTCTACTTTTGGTGGATGTTGAGCTAAAAAACACAACCAAGCCAAAGATGGGGTGGAAAAAAGGATTTATTACATGCAGTTAGAAAGGAGAACACTGGGAATATTTTCCAAACCAGTGTCTCCCTGAAAGCAAAATTGGGGAAGTTTTAAGCTAAGGAAGGGTACACGCATATCCATGAAAGGCCTTTGTGGTGTATGCATATTCATGAAGGGGCTTGAGCTGAGAATTCTTGACACAGAATTGAAAACTATTGTGAATGAAGCCACAAGGGTCAGAAAAGAAACGTCATCATTCCATCCTCCACCTGAGTGGGGGCCTTAGATCCCATAGAACTCAAAAGATGTGTATCAGATTATGTATATCCTTTGAGAAGGAACCAGGACTCTGTTTTTTTTAAGGCTGAACTTTTGTTTCTTGACTGGTTTTCCTTTATTCCTGCATTCCCTCACTTCCCCTCCCCCACCCCCAGTCTGCTTACAGACTGGTTTCTGTTTGTCCAGTGCTTAATAACCCAGAGTAGACAGATGGAGACAGGACTCTGTAATAAGTAAGGTCAATAATATCTTTGGTGTTATTGATATCCCTCTAGGTGGGGAAAAAATAGGAGACAGAGGAAGGACGGTTAAACGCAACAAAATATACATAAGAAAACTTACCATGTTAACCATTTAAAAGATTCATTTATTTTTATTTAGCTATTTTTGGCTTCACTGGGTCTTCATTGCTGTATGTGGGCTTTTCATTGTGGTGACTTCTCTTACTGCAGAGCATTGGCTCTAGGTTCAAGGGCTTCAGTAATTATGGCTTGCAGGTTCCAGAGTGTGGGCTCTGGAATAGTTGGGGTGAATGGGCTTAGTTGCTCTACAGCATGCAAGGATTGAACCTGGGTCCCCTGCACTGGCAGGTGGATTTTGAACCACTGGATCACCAGGGAAGCCCCATTATAACCATTTTTAAAGAGCACAAATCAGTGGCATTATGTATGTTCACACTGTTGTGCAACCATCACCGCTATCCATTCAGAACTTTCTCATTATCCCAGACTGAAACTCTGTACCGATTAAACAATAATTCTCTAACCCCAACTACCAGCCCAGCCCTTTGCACGCGCATGTGTGTGTGCGTGTGCGCTCAGTCTCCGACTCTTTGCGACCCCATGGACTATAGCCTGCTAAGCTCCTCCATCCATGGGATTTTCCAGGCAATAATACTGGTATGGATTGCCATTCCCTCCTCAAGGGCATCTTCCTAACTCAGGAATCAAACCTGCATCTCCTGCACCAGTCAGCCCCTAGTGACTACTATTCCATTTTTTTTTTTAAGTTTTTTTCTCAGTATTCTATTTTCTATCTCTATGCATTTGCCTAGTCTAGGCGCCTTGTGTAAATATAGTCAATATTTGGTTTTTGTATATATAGCTTCTTTGACTTAGCATGGTGTTTTCAAGGTTCATTCATGTTGCAATGTGTTAGGATTTTGTTCCTTTTAGTCTGCATAATACTGCATCATAGGTGTATTTGTTGTTCAGTCACTCAGTTGTGTCTGACTCTGTGACTCCATGGACTGCAGCACACCAGGTCTCTCTGTCCTTCATCGTCTCCTGGAGCTTGCTTAAACTCATTGAGTTGGTGATGCAATCCAACCATCTTGTCCTGTCGTCCCCTTCTCCTCCTGCCTTCAATCTTTCCCAGCATCAGGGTCTTTTCTAATGAGCTGGCTCTTCATATCGGTGGCCAAAGTATCAGAGCTTCAGCATCAGTCCTTCCAATGAATATTCAGGATTGATTTTCTTTAGGATTGACTGATTTCCTTGCTGTCCAAAGGACTCTCAAGAGTCTTCTCTAAGACCAGTTCAAAAACATCAATCTTTTGGTGCTCAGGCTTCTTTATGGTCCAAATCTCACATCCATACATGACTACTGGAAAAAACCATATGGTGGAATTGCTCAGTCGTGTCCGACTCTTTGTGACTGCATGGACTGTAGCCCACCAGGCTCCTCTGTCCATAGGGTTTTCCAGGCAAGAGTACTGGAGTGGGCTGCCATTTCCTTCTCCAGGGGATCTTCCCGACCCAGGGATTGGACCCGGGTCTCCCACATTGTAGACAGACGCTTTACCATCTGAGCCACCAGGGAAATCCTCAAAAACCATAGCTTTGACTATATGGATCTTTGCTGGCAAAGTAATGTCTCTGCTTTTTAATATGCTGTCTAGGTTTGTTATAGCTTTTCTTCCAAGGAGCAAGCTTCCAAGTCTTTTAATTTAATGGCTGCAGTCATGATCCACAGTGACTTTGGAGCCCAAGAAAATAAAGTCTCTTACTGTTTTCATTGTTTCCCATCTGTTTGGCATGAAGTGATGGGACCAGATGCCATGGTCTTTGTTTTATTTTAATGTTGAGTTCTAAGCCAGCTTTTTCACTCTCCTCTTTCACGTTCGTCAAGAGGCTCTTTAGTTCCTCTTCACTTTCTGCCATAAGGGTGGTGTTATCTACATATCTGACGTTATTGCTATTTCTACTGGCAATCTTGATTTCAGCTTGTGCTTCATCCAACCTGGCATTTCATATGATAATATCTGCATATAAATTAAATAAGCAGGGTATATACCACGTGCTAAAAAAAATTCAGGCATCAGTGGACATTTGGGTTATTCCCAACTTTGGCTGTTGTGGTAACGCTGTGAACAGGGGTGTATAGCATCTGTTCTTGCCCTCTTTTTGAAAGGTTCTTTCTTTCTGTCTCTACACCTCTTATTACAGCCTCAGGGCGCACTCTTATTACAGCCTCAGGGCGCACTCTGTACTTGTTTTTGAAGACAAAAACAGGCATGATTCAGCCAAAATGTGAGAACCATGTGATGATTCCCTCCTGACTCAGTTGGTAATGAATTCACCTGCAATGTAGGAGACCCAGGTTCCATCCCTGAGTTGGGAAGACCCCCTGGAGAAGAAAATGGCAACCTACTCTAGTATTCTTCCTCCGAAATCCCATGGACAGAGAAGCCGGGTGGGCTACAGTCCATGGGGTTGTAAACAGTAGGCTACATCTTAAGGACTAAACCACCGCATGTGGTTGCTAACAAGTTTAAAGGCACACAAAGTGGGCTTTAGGCATTGCTCCTAGAGACTGAGGGGCTTTCTTAGGTAGCAAGTATGAAATAAAATTCATATTTTATGGCAAAATAAGAAAAATTCAAACATAAAAAGCTTTCTCTGCCTTCCCCCTCACAATTATGAATGGCTCAAACTTGCTACGAGTCACTGGGATTCCGTTTACTCCTTTAGCTACTCTTGTGACCAGTTGGATTTGGGTTTTAGGGGACTTAAGCTTATACAGTGTCAGCGGCCCTTAAATCAGAGTAAATACTTATAACAAGGTGCTGTGCTTAGTCACTCAGTCGTGTCCGACTTGTAACAAGACATCACATCAAATTAGTGGAGACATGGAGATTCAGACTCCTTGCCTTCTGAGGTATCTTTCGACAATTCATCAGAAATGCTCAATACTTAGAATTGCTTCCTGGTTGCCAGCTGGCTTCCCCTGCACACCTGGAAGCCACTTTCAGAAGCGTTTCTCTTACAGATATCCAAACAAGTAAGGGGCCCTGAAGATTATCTACCTTCAATTTCACCCTGCCACTTACCAGCAGCATGTCATCTATTTCTGTGTGTCAAGCATCAAGCTTAGACTTATGCTTGCTTAGAATGGGTTGGGGGCTGAAAGTCTTATCTGCCGTAGGCCCCTCAATCTGACCTAAGGGCAAGAGTGGTTTAGAAAAGGGTGCGACAAGTCTGACGAACAAAAAATAAGGTGCAGTCCTGGCCTCCGGCGCAGAGGGCACTGTCTTTGACAGAGTTCGATCGAACACTCTGCTGAGGGTCGCGTTTCAAAGAAGGCCTTCTCCTTTGCCCAGTAACCTTCCCCAAGCAGAGCAGATGAGAAGTCCGTCCGGACTTTGAAAATCAGTTTGCGATCCCACTTCCCTACACAAGGTGGGGTGTAGGAGGTGCCACAACCGGAACTTCCTTTGAGATAAAGAAAAAAGACGGAAGTAGGCCAGAAGCACTTCCTCAATATTTTGCCTCAAACCTGCTCTCCCTCCTACTTGCTACTTGAAGGGAGGTGCTTCACTGCTCTTTACCGCTGCAGGGAGTGCTGCGACGGGTTCTGTGCGCAGGCTCAGTAATCAGCTCCGCCTCCCAACTACCTTTCGGCTTCCTTGTCGCTCCTCTGGTTCTCGGGCCCGGGCTTGACGCAGTCTTGTACGTAACTGGGGGGCGGAGCCTCAGGAAGAAAGGCCTCTGAGACGGGGTCTCGCGAGAACATTCCCTCGCAGTTGTCGCGCTGCAGCTTTACTCTCGTCGCAACGAGATCTTTCGAGATCTTCTCCGCCCCCGCTACCGGCGCCCACTCTGCGGCCGCTGAGCCGGAGCCGGCCTGAGTAGTGCCCTCAGCGCGGCCCTCTTTCCAAGACCCTAGGCGCTCTCGTGGACCTTCGCACGTCCCCCACTATCCCAGGTCCCCCTGTCCCACGCGGCCAGCTTTCTGCGCGCCAGCCCCGCCGGGGTCCGTGTCTTGTCTTGCCGGCCGGACCTGGGCTGGAGCCTGAGCTGTAGCCGGCGCCATGTCGGTGGTGGGCATAGACCTGGGGTTCCAGAGCTGCTACGTCGCTGTAGCCCGCGCCGGCGGCATCGAAACGATCGCTAATGAGTACAGCGACCGCTGCACGCCGTGAGTGTGGGCCAGGCTAGCCGCGTGCACTGGGGGTGGGGAGGTAGAGCTTGTCCGGGCTGTGACCCTCGCGGTTTGGGGAACGCGGACCGGGCGGTCACCTCCGTTCCGAGCCGAGGTTCCGGTAGGTAGGGGAACCCCACTGGGTTTTAGGTCATTAGGGCCTGCGACCCTTGTGGGTCTGCACTAAGGGCGACGCCTTTTTATTGTGACCAGCCGGCCGAACAAGGGCTCTGAGTGGCTCCTTGGACCCGCGGAGGCCATGGGTAGGAACTGGAGGGAAAGGCAGGCCTGGGATGTGGGATGGGCCGATATTCTCTTTTAGAAGGCACATTATAGGCGCGGGGTGTACTAACGTTTTTTCAGGCCAGCAGAGTTCGGGGCTTTGCACACAGCAAGCGCTTAATAAAAGTTTAATTGAACCGCTTCTGGCATCTGCCGGCAGGCGGTAAGACCATGCAGCGGCCAGTCCCACGTGAGTGGGGGTGGGGTGGCGCCGGGAAGAGAGGGAGTCAGAGCACCGGAGATCTGAAGATTGGGTTGGCACGGAAAGATTCAGAAAAAGATAAAATAAAATCGATGCCTTTTGGATACCTTTAGCGTTCACTTTGGTTTTTCACGTCGCTTCAGTATATTGAACTGTGTTGGGTCATTTTCTGCTGTCCTGTGTACATCCACCCCAACAGCGTTCCGCTTTTACGGTAATATACATTCCAGCTAGGGTGTTGGCCCCAGTTGTTAATGAATGACTCAGGGGCTCACTGTGACTTTTAAAAGAACCTATAGTAAGTTATGGGACCGGTAGACAGCACTAAAAAAAATCATGACTCACCCAGGTTTTTCCTTGCATAGGGTAAGTAAGAATCTTCTTGTATACTTAGAGATACCTTTCAATCTTTGTCTTCCTTTTGGACAAAATCTTTTAAGAAGTTTCGTAATTATTTGTTTAGTTCTCATTGTGTCTCATTAAGGGCCTCTGTTCTAAGGCTCCTTTTTCACCCTGACTTTTGTTATGCTTCTCAGCGTTAGACTTCTGGCCAACTAGATTGCTCCATTTACCACACTGATCTTTGCTACCCAGGGGGCTGACAACATTTTCCTTAAACTTATCAGATTTCTACCCCTTATTTTAGATCTAACCCAGGTGCTTCCCTGAAAACCCATCCCAGATTCAAAATCTCAGTTTGATGTTCCTTTCTCAATTTTATAGTTTTTAACAGCATTAACGAGATATAATTCACATACCATACAGTTAACTCTTTCAAAGTGTACAGTGTTTTAGTGTAGTCACAATTGTGCAACCATCAACACAATTTTAACATTTTCTTTGCCCCACAAGAGAAACCCTGTACTCATTTTACAGCCACAGCCCGATCCCCCACCCTCCCATCTTCATAGTTTGTAATAGTGCGTTTGATGTGTATTTCCAGGCAAGTGTATTGTACACTGAAGTTTAAGTATTTAAGCATTAATTTCCTATTTGTACTGTCTTTCTGGATCCTGTTGTGCTTCATCTGTAGAGATAGTTTTTCTCAAGAAGTTAAAAGGACTAGAGCACCGAGTTAGTAATGTAACTTTTTGGTCTTTTTCCCAACTAGAGTTGAGCTTATTTTATTTAGCTCCAAAGGTAAGAATATCAAGTATTAGAACAAAGTGTTCCTGACCTTTCTTTTTGGCCTCTTATGATTCCCCCTCTTTCGCCTTTAGACAAATAGGAACTGTAACAGTGTTACTGTGAATCTCATTATTTGGAACTGAAAGAGTTGTTTCAGAAAAGGATAGATACACCATATAAGTGTGATAAAGAATGTTTAAAAATAGTTTTCCTTACATATTTTCCTTATATCTCTTGGAAACTTAGATGCCATACATTCAAGTAATTTTTGAACTATGATCTTGCTTCGCTTCGATTTCTGTCTTGGAGTCTTTGGTTAAGTAGCACATAGGGGCAGAAAGGTTGATTTTTTTTTTTTTTTAAAGTAGTGATTACCAAAGCATGGATTTATACCTCAGAGATACACAGGGACTGATGTAGGTATGCTTGAGTTTGAGAGTGGAATGAAATGGAGGGTTGGGTATGAAGAAAGTAACGCATTTCAGATGAGATCGGAAGTGTTCAGGGTGGTATGGCAGTAGACATAACTCATTTCAATTTCTGGGTGCATCAGGATTTGATTTCCATTTTTGAGGAGCTAGTTGAATTTTACCTGGGAGAGATCCGTGCTTTCTCAGCAAATAAGATCCTTCCATCACGGACACATGGCTAGTGGGCAACACCAAATGTTAAATGTATAATTACTGACTGTGGTAAGGACCCTGATGTATGGAAAACAGTGATGGGGACCTAATTTAAATGGATATGAGGTGGTGATGGAAGGCATTCTTAAAAAAGTGCCATTTAAGATGTAACCTGGAGGATGAATAGGGTTTTACCATGGAGATGTGTGGTGGGAGTGAGCAAGAGTTGTTGAGGCAGAAGAAATAGCAAGTGAGGAAGACCTGAACTTGGCACACTTGGCACTACTGAGGGGATTATGGCCACCTGAAGGAATGTTGACCTGAATTGGTTAGGCAGGGTGGATGAGATCATGGCAAGGCTTTGCAAATCATAGATCTTAGGTGCTGTGGGAGGTGATTCAATTGGTACTTTAGAAATGTGATTGGCTTTTTTTTGTGGAGAGTGGATTTATTTGAGAAGGGCAAGAGAAGCCCGATGCACCCGATGATACTTTGGAGGCTACTGCAGTATTTGGTCCACGTGGGAGTTGCTGTTGCTCTCCACTGGTATGGAACCGGGAGGAAAGTGTGGGCGGCTTAGAGATAAACTGTGGAGTTCTAAATTATGAGTGTTGGCATTTTATGACCATAGGCTTTGGTATAAGATGGAAAGCCTATTTTTATATTTAGTTGGATTATTAAAATAGAAAGAGTACAACCTTAAAGCTTTGGAATTGAAATGTTAACGGCCTGCCAAACTTTACAGGAGTTAGTTGGGCTGCATTATGCAAAATTTATAGGGTAGAGATGAGTTACCTAAGAAAAGAATTCTGTGTATGAATAGTTTTTATTATCGTTTTCATGGACTTAATTCCTAATAAAACAGTATATTAGGAATTTGAAGAGATGAAATTGTCTGTTAATAACTACTCGAGAGGGAAAGCTGAAAATAAGTATAGGTTCTGGTTAACTGGCAGATTAACTTCTGGTACCTTATTTGTGCAAGAAAGGTGTTCCTCTCTAGAATAAATATCTACATGTTGTAGATCTGAGTAGAGCTGCAAGATGACTTGGATCTTTTGGGTTCAATGAAAAGGAAAGTTGATTTGTTAATTAAAGCTTTAGTCTACTTCCCATATCTAGTTGTGAAAGTTATCAAAGTAGTTTAAAAAAACCCACTTAAGAACTAAAATAAAAGCTTGTATACAGAACTGGTGGGCGCAGTGTACAGAAACTTTGTCATCAGGTTCTAGATTGGATTTCCGAAATTATAACTTTTTCCCTGACTTAACAAGATATTTGTTTGCCGCAACAACAAAATAAAGTACTAAGTAAAATTGTTTCTTATCTAATTATTTGCTATTATATACATATAAATATATATATCATTTCATGACATTTTCTAGATTTATACAAATATACATATAAATATAGATATATATGTATATTTGTAAATATATAAATATACCCATATAAACAAATAGGCTCATACAGTATTTTGTAAGTATTTCACTTATGTTTTAGACATCTTTCAGAGTCAGTAAGTAGGAATTCACCTCAAGAATATGAGAGTCCATATTATGACTTGAACGTGCTTTACTCAAATGTTCAGGTGGTTTCTAAATTTTTACAATTAGAAATAATCTTCAACAAGTAGTCTTTTATATTTATGTTTGCATGTTAATACTTTTATTTTTGTTGGATAGATTTCCAGATGTTGGACAAAGGATATATATGCCTAGAATTTCAGTGCATATTGCCTGAATACTTTACAGAAATTTAAGAGATTAATTCATACCAGGAACGTAAGTGATTTCTCTGTTTCACTGGAATTGGTGAGGATTATGAGTTAAAATTACATGAAGTATTTAAAATAATCCCTAAGTGTTTGTTAATACTGCTATTATTACTTTTTGTATTTTTAATTATTTCTCTTTATTAGTGGACTACATTGGGACAGTAAAAGGGAGTCTATGGAACTTTGCCTTTAGCACTTATCAGATATGTAGCTTTTAATGTGCAAATCTTACTGACTCAGGAGTTTAGTTCTTTAGGAACTGCATATCTTGTAAGTATGAGTTGTTCTGTTTGATACTGTTCTGGGTACTTTCTAGCTCAGGGCTAATACAGTGGTCATGGGATACACTAATAAATGTAACCATTTTCATGCCAGTTTTGCCATTGTCTCTTACTTGATAGTGTAAATACTATTGTAGGTTCTCTGTAAAACTTATTTTCTTATATTGTTTAAAACATTGAATTAGAACAACAGGTGTCTTCATATCCTGAGGACGGTTCTGCACACACATATAAACATGAAGCTACCTTTTAAGGATCTGTGCCGGTTGCAGCTGTTCATAATATCCTATTAAAATGTGCATAAATGTTTGGTCAGTGGTATTTCATACCCAGGAAGGAGAACAACATTGTTACCTAGTTTAAATGGATTATTTTTTCTAGGACTTAAAGATTAGAGCAGAGATGTTTTGAACTTGATTTAAATTAACTTTTTGATGTCAACCTGTAATTTGGAATGGAGGAAAAGTAGTATCCGTCAAGTAGCAAGTGTCTTGAGAACTCCTGTGTTTAGCAGCGTTAAGTTGGCCTTGTGTGGAGTGTAGAGGAAGTGCGAGATAAGGAGCCCTGCTGTGGGGGGCTCTTCCAGGCAGTCTAGTTGGAAGTACGACAGCAGAGGAAATAGAAGAAGGGTAGAGTACCATTACGGGCGAAGGCATTACGTACATACCTTGATTACGTACAAGTTAAATGGAGAGGGAATGTTAGTGGGGGATGGGATGATATGGAAAGGCAGGAGTGGGACTTGCAAATAGGAGTAGAATACATGAAGACAGGATTGGGGCAGTCTGAGTGAAGGTATAGAAGTAGGAATAAATCTAGAGGGTTTCTAAGCAGTACAAAAGTATGTTTATGGATAGGATTTGGAGTTTGATAGTCCTGATTCTGAATGCTGGACTCTAATATTAGTTATGTTTCTAGGCACATAATGACTTTATTCAGTTCTTCATTTACAAAGTTGGGTCAGTAATGGTTCTTTTCTCAGAGTGTTTGGGAGGAGCAAATGTAGAATGCTTAGCGCACTGCCTGGCATAGAAAGGTTCAAAAATGAAAGCTGTAGAACAAGAGAATTTGACCTGCTTGGGTGAAAGAGAGGCTTCCTGCGATACATGGGGATTCCATATAGGCTGTGCAAATTTTGAATATCCTGGTGAGTGGGAAGTGGTACACGTTTACTTTAAATATCTGGTTTGTATCAAAACTCGGACAGAATTATTCAGTCACTGAAGGTTTTAGAGCGTGTTAGTTGAGAAACAAATTTACTGGGGGTATGTAGCTTCTGTTTTTAAAATAATTATTTTATTTATTAGGATTGCATAGGAATATTTACCTCAATGGTAGTGGTGGCCATTTATGGGGAGAGGGTTTTGGTTGCAGAGTTACTGATAATACTTATTTTCTTCTTTACACTTTGCTAATTTTCTGCAATGAGATTGTTCTAGTGGTGGCCCCAATATTTGACCTAATCTTTTTGGGCCCTTTTCACATTTAAAAAGTGTAAGCTTGTAGTTGAAAAACCTCTGCAGTTAGTGCTGTTTAACATACTGATCTCTTTCAGTTGTCCTATTGAAAAGGAAATGGTAGAATTTTTATTCCTTATGATTTAAAGATGACTGAGTGGGTTTTAGTAAGTAGTTTGAGAAGGTGAAGTAGAACTTTCAAGGCAAACTCGGGTATATTTTTGTCTTGTTTTGGCTGTGCTGCTCAGCTTGTGGAATCTCTGTTCCTTGACCAGTGATTAAACCCAGGCCACAGCAGTGAAAGCCCTGAATCCTAACCACTAAGCCATTGGGGAACTCCTTAGTTGGTATATTTTTTGTATAAAACTTCCAACTGTTGGGAGGATTAATAGTAGCTAATATTATTTATGATGTGCCAGTCTCTAATAATAAAGCCCTTTAAAAGTGGATCTCTGATAGCTCAGTTGGTACAGAATCAGCCTGCAATGCAGGAGACCCAGGTTCGATTCCTGGGTCGGAAAGATCCACTGGAGAAGGGAAAGGCTATCCACTCCAGTATTCAGGCCTGGAACACAATGGACTGTACAGTCCATTGGGTCGCAAAGAATTGGAGACGACTGAGCGACTTTCACTTTCAAAAGTGGATCAACAAATTTAGTCCTTCGAGCAACCATATGTAATTTTCCCTATTTTAAAGATGAGCAAATTGAATTTCAGAGACGTTAATTAACACAGGTCACACAGTTTGAAAGATAGAGAAGGGATTCAGACAGACCCATATTGTCTAATTCTAGAGCCTGAGCCCTTTTTTTCCCCCTTCAAACTGTACATATGTTGTACTCAGTCAAGTTGATAGAGTGGAAAAGCCAAGGATTTCTTTCTGTAGTGTAACAGTGGCTTGTTACAGAACTTTTTTAGAATGTAAGAATTATGTAATAATATATTAATGATTTTCTACAATATGATAAGAGTGTGAACTCTGCCAGTACTTTACAAGAGCTATGCTTTGTTTGAGGTGTGATTGCTATTTTATGTGGTAAAGATTTATGTTCCATTAGTGAGATTTGATTGCTTTGTAGCAGAAGTGGGGAACTGTTTGTAGCGTGTGCACGCATAGACAAATAAAAGGATGAATAATTTGAACTGAGACAAACTTGTATTCGGCTTTTCAAAATCTATGAAACACTGGCAAGCTGTTACTGTTAAGGCATATGTCATTTTTAAGAGTAGGTGAAAATGTTCACTGACTTCAAAGAGAACATTACTTAGAGCAGCTCTGCACAGTAGAACATTGTGTGATGGTGGAAGTGTTCTGCATTTGCATTGCCCAAAGTCCAGTAAGTTGAAAGAGGTTGAAGTGATTAAGTTTTACTTGAGAGGGATTGAGAATGCATAACAAAGTGTGTGCTGTTTCTGGAAAATGAGTGAGATTTAGAAGGACCAGGGCATTTCAGGTGGTGAAAGTGATAGAGCAAAGTTGGAAGATTGGAAGACTGTCTGACTTGTGTTGAGGCACTATGTGCATGAGATGCAGCTGAAAAATGGGAGTGGGGTTGGAATTATGAGAGGTCTCAGGTTCCACATTAAGGAATCTGGACCCTATTGGTAGTTCGTTTTGTTTGGAGGATAAGTAGAAACAAAACAGCTACTAAGGTAGAATAGAAAATTAAACCTTCAACAGGACATACAGTAAAGTTGGGAACATTAATTTTTTCCATTCTTAGAGCTTGTCCTGTTTTGAGGAGATGAAGGTTTGAAAATGGCTGCAGGAAACGAAGATAAATAATTCGGACTTCTAGTTTTGTTGGGATACATCTTAGAAATTCAGATCTGCTGGCTTTTAGAGAGATGTATGTTTGCATGCATAGGCTAGAAGCAGTGGAGAGGGTGAATGGAGTGGATGAGATTACAGTGGGCAGTTTCCTAAAGGGCTTTATGGGCTGTGATATGCATGTGTCTTCAGTCACTCAGTCGTGTTCGACTCTGCCACCCCATGGACTGTAGCTGTCCAGGCTCTTCTGTCCATGGGATTCTCCAGGCAAGAATACTGGAGTGGGTTGCTGTGCCCTTCTTCAGGGGATCTTCATGACCCAGGGATCGAACCCACGTCTGTTATCTGCCACGTTGACAGGCAGGTTCTTTACTACTAGCACCACCATAGGAGAGACCGGTAAGTAGTACTCAGGAAATTTTTTTTAAGTGATAGGTTGTCTATTTGCAGAAAGGCTGATCTTGACACCTGTACTTCTTGAAGAGCTCTCCCAGCATGTTCCTGGCCCGTGGAGCTTAGAGTTCATAGGAAATCTCATGAGATCCCAGACTGTGCTGTATGGATACAGGGCATAGCAGCCTGTAACTGCTCTGGGAGTTGGAAAGGGCTGTTGAGGCACAGAGTAAGTTTATCTAAGTAAAACGGTTCTATTTAATTATTGTGTCAGATTTGGACCAAGGCAGTGTGGTGCCGGAGCTCTCATTCCTACTCATTCCACTCAATTAGAAGAATTAGGGGTCCAGGGAGGCTAGGGAGATCAAAGCTAGCTAGAGTGTAAAGTATGGAGAAATATGATCTATAGTCCTGACTCCTGTTGTTTTCAGATTTTATGACTTGGGATACATTTACCTATAATACCTTTTTTTGGACTCAGTTTCTCTTCTATATGGTAGAAATAAGATAGGGTGCTTAGGAAGATTAAATAAGATAGTGCACATAAGCAATTTATTACTTTAGTAATAATGTAGGAGTAGGAGAAGGGTTTACTAACCTGAGGGGGAAATGGACTCTGGGAAGAGCTCTGTCTTTTAGGATTTTTTGGGTGGCACGGGTGAATGTGATCTTAGTTTGAGAGAAATCTGCCACTGGAAAGGGAGGCAACATGTGAATATGAGAGTAAAGGGAACACAGGCAAGGTTCCAGAGTGAAACATGGGGAGAAGCATAGAGGCCATGATTACAGAGGCATCAACTCCCAAGTATAACTAACTTTCTAAGCTTAAACACAGTGTTTTAAAGTATTTATACCTTTAACCAGGTATCAATTTTGCTTTCTAAAATAAGTGTCATATAGGTGAAACCAGCAGGCAGTATATGAATTAATTTGGAAGAATGTGTTCAGAAGTGGGAATGAAGTTCCTTGTCAGAAATTGAGTCTCTTAAAAAAAAATTGATTCCTTGGAAACTAGTTCTAGAAAAATAACTTTCCACATATTTACAATAAGAGTTGTTTTCAGGGCTTGTAGACTACTCTCTAGGGGAAGTTATGAGCTGTTTATAAAACATAAAGAACATTTAATTGATGTATTAATATGATAGCATATTTTATGTTGGAATTTTGAACACCAGACTTGAAGAATTAGAGGATAGTGGAGACTGGTTAGTCCACCTCTCTAGTATTTTAGACAGTTATATCAGACTTGTGCTTCAGCATCTCAGTGACAGAATTCCCATTATTCTGAGAAGCAGTGCATTCCAGGGGCAGTTTTACTCAGTAGAAAGGTCAAAATCATAGACTCATTGTGTGCAGTTAAAAAACAGGGCTTTTTGGCTGAGACTCAGAAATCTTGTCTGCTCTGGTTTTGGATGTAATGTTGCAGTAAGGTTTAATGCTTAAATGTTTGTTTTATCTTTTAGGGCTTGCATTTCTTTTGGACCTAAGAATCGCTCAATTGGAGCAGCAGCTAAAAGCCAGGTAGAGTTCTGTTTTTTTCATACTTATTTCTGTGGTTGGGCCACCCTTCCCATGCAGCAGCTCTTTCAGTGCCCATTATGTGCGGAGCACTGGGAGCCTTTATGTGTACAGCGGAGAGACAAACCTATTCTCATGTACTTGAGTGAGAAGCTAAGAGCTTTTTAAAATAGCTTGAACAGTGGTCTGTTTAATGCAAACTACCAGGATGTATTTTACCTAGATATTGTTAAAGCAAGGTTTTACTTGTTCCTGAGTTGTTAACAGTTTTTTTTCCCCGGGTATTTAAAATAATCCATAAAGTCTGTCTTGTTGAATTTTCATCTTACTTATATTTAGGGTCAGTGTTGTCTCTAGATTTGACCTTGTTCATCAAGGTTCTCAAGGAAGGAAAGCATACTTGGAGAAGCACACTTACCATTAGATTACTTTTAAACCAGGAACCTGACTTATTTGCTTGTTTCTCAGTAACCAGAGCAGCAGAACCTGAAGAGTTGTATTTTTCTCAGTGCCTGAAGTTGCTATAAAATTAAGGAGTTGTATGTTAGATGTTTCTATAGTTCATTCTGGAGGAGCATAATAGAATGAATAACTGTCTTTTTCTGGACCAGTCTGGGCCTAAGATTTTTAAGCCCCCCCAAATGGTGCTTGATCAATTGATTTTTAATTAAATTGGGTGTTTTATAAATTGCAGAAAGTTCAAGACTGTGTTAGGAGACAGCAGGTAGCAAATACAGAGCTGTTTTGGTTTTAAACTTGCTTTCATTATTGAGAATAGTTGTTATACTAAACTGGCTGCCTAGTTCTAGGTTGACATAGTTATTGTGATATTGAATTTCTTGGCAGCTTACTGAAGCAGAGCCTGACTTCGGAGGCCTCATATTGTTTTACAAAAGAACTTCTGTTTGTGCCTTTTGACATACTGGATTCAGAGGAGCTCTGTTGTTTTTCCTTGGGATTTGTTGCACTCACTTCTGCATTGGGAAGAAAAGCCCATAAGTCTTGAGCAGAAATTCATTTTCAGTGTTTGAATATCTTTGCCAGCAGTTTTTTCATAAATTACAGTAGTTTTTGTTAGAGATAAATTAGGAAACGCAGGTGTACAAGTATAAGGCATTTAGAAGTTAGCATATTACCATTGTCCAAAAATCTCTGTTACTGTCTTAATGTGTAACCTTTTATATTATAAGCATATAAATGTTTTTCTCCCCCACTCTAAGAAAGTGACATCATATCATATAGATACTTGTCTCCAGACTTCTAAAATAATTTATCCATTGTATGGATAGACTGTAATTTATTTACTCATTTCCCTGTCGTTGACCCTCTCGGCTCTTACTAGTTTCCTGTTTTGATAAGTAATACTGTGTCAGTTTATTTACATTTATCTTTAACAGATGCTTAGTGTCATCTGTTTTTTCTTTATGGTAAGTTTCATTCACTAGAATAACTGAATTAATATATACTGTTGGGTTGACTCCTGGAAAGTTTGAATCACAAACTACAGGTAATTTTAAAAGATAAAAACTATTTAATGTAAATGTTCATTAGATGTTGAATAACAGGAAATATTTTTACAAGGGTAATGATCTGTCTTACTGAGAAAGTAAGACAAACTGGGCTCTGGTCCTAGCCTGCCCACTGTGTGACCTGTATAGGTCCATCACTCCTCACTTCAGAAGGCATCATTTATAAAGGTTTAGTGCTGAAGGAAACAAACTAGGAAGGAAAGGTTGGCGTTGAAAAGGATTCTAATTTAATCTTGAAAGTTTTGAATCTCCCCCTCCCCCCCATTTAATTGCTGTTATAATAGTCTTTCTACTCTTTGACCCTGATATCCTTTCTCTTAGGTAATTTCCAATGCAAAGAACACAGTCCAAGGATTTAAAAGATTCCATGGCCGAGCATTCTCTGATCCATTTGTGGAGGCAGAAAAATCCAAACTTGCATATGACATTGTGCAGTTGCCCACTGGGTTAACAGGTATAAAGGTAAGGTTCTGAAGATAATGCCTTATGATTGAAAAATAGTATTTTATGTTATCAGATCAGTGTATAGAAGTGAGTAGCCATTCCCTTCTCCAGGGGATCTTCCCAACCCAGGGGTCGAACCCAGGTCTCCTGTATTGCAAGCCAATTCTTTACCAGCTGAGCCACAAGGGGAGTCCGAGAATACTCAAGTGGATAGCCTATCCCTTCGCCAGCAGATCCATAAATTGAACTGGAATCTCCTGTATTGCAGGCGGATTCTTTACCAACTGAGCTATCAGGGAAGCCCTTGAAAATGTTACCAGATCAATGTATATCATACCATTCTAGTTTTAACTTGTAATGAAAATTGTTACAAATGCTTTGGGAAGTCTTGCTGGTGAAGACCATTTGGCTTTTTTTTTTTTTTTTTTTAATGATCTGGCTTTTATCTGGGAGACATAGGTGGCACTGTTAATAGGGGTTAGACAGATAGGTGGTGATGATGTGAAGTTAACTTCTTGTCTTGTTTTCTAATGCCCAGTAGTCTTTCTGGTATGATTTTAGTGAGTGATTACTAGAGGAGCAAGAAAAGAAATCAGCACTTTAGTCACTCCCAGATACGTAGTCATACTCTTGACAGTAGGATTGGAAAATGGTGTTGTTCTTTTGGAGAAAGGGAGTTTAGTCTTTGCTATCTCTGGAATATCTAGGAGAATCTCTTTGTGAAGCATGAAGTGAGCTGATCATTCAAATAGATGAGAGGCTGAGCAGTGGGTGTGGTGAAGACATCTGTCTCTTGCACTCAGGTGGTAAGAGGAATCCAGAAGTATGTTTGAGCTTTCCTGGCAACCGAGTTCAGAGAGAGGAGATTTGATTTTTGAGACACCCCATTTGGAGAAGTAAGGATCACGGGAACAGGTTCAGGTCCAAGAGATGTTGAAAATCGTGGGAAAAAGATAGTCAGTTTTGCGGTTGTAGCTGAGAATTCAGTTGAATTTGAAAGTAAAGAATTCTGATAACTGGAAATTGATCACTGGGTTTACTTAGGGTATTTTCAGCAGTACTTTTAAAACAGTTTTAATGGGCCTAATGATGGATAAGAAGTGCAGAGGAGGAAGAAAAGGAAACGGAGGTGAGGAAATGAGGATTGCTTAATAGTTAAGAAAGAAATAGGGTGGGTATTGGCAGATTTAATCAGAAGAGCCAAAGGAGGAAGAGACTAGGGAGAACACCTGTGGATCCGAGTAAGAGGCTGGAGGAATTTTGGAATATTTACATGAGAAAAGAAGAGGTAGCTTTGAAAGGCTCACTGGGAGGATATATATTTTCTCATCTGTATCAGGAAGGTGAGAAACTGTTCTAAACCAGAATAAATGATGGTTGGGTTTGGGAGGGAGAAGGTGAGAAGATGGTGGTCAAGTTGGAGCAGGAGCTAAAAGTACAGAGTTGACATTTTTTGGTCTGTATTGTAGTTGGGAAGTACGGACATGTGAAATAGGACCTTAGGCAGTCTTTTCAGCATTTACAGTTTGTAACTCTTGTCAGAATTTCATACCTTTATGCAGGGTGTAGGATATCTTGAAGGTGTCAACAATTATTTTGTCAGGTCTGCCCTTGGTGTTGGGGCTAAGACAGTGAATAGTCAGTCAGTTCAGTCGTTCAGTCATGTCTTACTCTTTGTGGCCCCATGGACCTCAGCACGCCAGGCTTCCCTGTCCATCATCAGCTCCTGGAGCTTGCTGAAACTCATGTCCATTGAGTCAACAGTGAACAGATCTGACAAAAACTATTGCCTTAGATTGGATCGTAATTGAGGTGATGATTATAAAGTCAACACAATGAGCAAAGTAAAATATACATAGTATGTCAGATGATAAAATAGTTTCCACCACCAGGCCCTTTAATGGAGGGGCAGTGTGGGTTATGGTGAGTTATACCTTATTGGAGGGGCAGTGTGGGTTATGGTGAGTTACACACCAGTTCGCTTCTCCCATGTAGTTGTCTCAAGTTTTGTTGGTGGTCAGAACATACCATTGACATAGTGGTCCTCATGGACGCAGATGAAAGGAGCAGTGACCCTACAAGAGACTGACTCAGACTTGCCTGTGAGTGTCCAGGAGTCTCTGGAGGAGCTGTGAGTCAGCGGTGGCTTGCTGCAGGGTTGGGGACATTGAGTGTGGCAGTGTGTGCATGGGACCTTTTGAAGCAGGTCACCATTACCTTCGTTACTTCCACCACAGTTTGGTCTCAGGTCAAACAACAGGGAGGGAACACAGCCTTGCTCATCAACAGAAAATTGGATTAAAGATTTACTGAGCATGGCCCCAACCATCAGAACAAGACCCAGTTTTCCCCATAGTCAGTGTCTCCCAACCGAAGCTTCCATAAGCCTCTTATCCTTTCCTGTCAGAGGGCAGACAGAATGAAAACCACAGTCACAGAAAACTAATCAAACTGATCACATGGACCACAGCCTTGTCTGTCTCAATGAAACTATAAGCCATGCTGTGTAGGGCCGCCCAAGACAGATGGGTCATGGTGGTCATGGTGGAGAGTTCTGACAAAACGTGGTCCACTGGAGAAGGGAATGGCAAACCACTTCAGTATTCCTGCCTTGAGAACCCCATGAAAATATGAAAAGACAAAAAGATATGACAGTGAAAGATGAACTCCCCAGGTCAGTAGGTGCTAAATATGCTACTGGAAAAGAGTGGAGAAATAACTCCAGAAAGAATGAAGAGATGGAGCCAAAAGAAAAACAGCGCGCAGTTGTGGATGTTAATGGTGATGAAAGTAAAATCCGATGCTATAAAGAACAATGCCAGCAAGGTAATGCTCAAAATTCTCCAAGCTAGGCTTCAATAGTACGTGAGCTGAGAACTTCCAGATGTTCAAACTAGGTTTTTGAAAAGGCAGAGGAACCAGAGATCAAATTGCCAACATCCCTTGAATCACAGAAAAAGCAAGAGAGTTCCAGAAAAACATCTACTACTGCTTTATTGACTATGCCAAAGCCTTTGACTGTGTGTATCACAGCAAACTGTGAAAAATTCTTCAAGAGATGGGAATACCAGACTACCTACCTGCCTCCTGAGAAATCTGTGTGCAGGTCAAGAAGCAACAGTTAGAACCAGACATGAAACAACAGACTGGTCCCACATCAGGGAAGGAGTATGTCAAGGCTGTATATTGTCACCCTGCTTATTTAACTTATATGAAGAGTACATCATGTGAAATGCCGGGCTGGATGAAACACAAGCTGGAGTCAAGATTGCTGGGAGAAGTATCAATAACGTCAGATATGCAGATGACGCCACACTTATGGCAGAAAGTAAAGCAAAACTAAATAGCCTCTTGATGAAATTGAAAGAGGAGAGTGGAAAAGTTGGCTTAAAACTCAACATTCAGAAAACTAAGATCATGGCATCCAGTCCCATCACTTCATGGCAAATAGATGGGCAAACAGTGGAAACAGTGATAGACTTTATTTTTTTGGGCTCCAGAATCACTGCAGATGGTGTCTGTAGCCATGAAATTAAAAGATGCTTGCTCCTTGGAAGAAAAGCTGTGACCAACCTAGACAGCATATTAAAAAGCAGAGACTTGACTTTACCAACAGCGGTCTGTCTAGTCAAAGCTGTGGTATTTCTTGTAGTCATACATATATGGATATAAGAGTTGGACTGTAAAGAAAGCTGAGTGACGAAGAATTGATGCTTTTGAGCTGTGGTGTTGCAGAAGACTCTTGAAAGTCCCTTGAACTGCAGGGGTATCAAACCAGTCAATCCTAAAAGAAATCAGTCCTGAATATTCATTGGAAGGACTGATGCTGAAGCTGAAACTCTAATACTTTGATGTGAAGAACTGACTCATTTGAAAAGACCCTGATACTGGGAAAGATTGACGGCAGGAGGAGAAACGGGTGACAGAGGATGAGATGGTTGGATGGCATCACTGACTTGATGGCTATGAGTTTGAGCAGCTCTGGGAGTTGGTGATGGATAGGGAAGCCTGGCATGCTGCAGTCCATGGGGTTGCAAAGAGTCAGACATGACTGAGCTTCTGAGTTGAACTGAATCTCATCCCCAGGTATCCTGGTTGGTAAGCACGTTAACAAGCTAAAAGTGACCTTTAAATTATTTTTTGCTTCCAAAACTAGCTTTCTTGGTTTCCTCTTGAGAGAATGTTCCACTGATGATTTAGAAATATATTCATTTTAGGTTTTTAGGACATGAAGAAATAGAGTTAAGTTTAGATCCTTTTGTTTTTTATTGCAGGTGAAATATATGGAAGAGGAACGTAGTTTTACCACGGAGCAGGTGACTGCCATGCTTTTATCCAAACTGAAGGAGACAGCAGAAAGTGTTCTTAAGAAGCCTGTTGTGGACTGTGTTGTTTCGGTAAGTTTCATCCCTGCCCATTATTAGGGTCTATGAAGAAGCAGAAAGAAGAAAGCTGTTAATTGAAAATATAATTGCTTTTTGTCTTAGGTGGCAATCATTATTATAAGAACTTTTCAGACTGGTTCTGATATTCTTGAATATTTTTTTTCCTTCCCTGGTTTTTGCTCTTCCTTCTATTACTCTGTCTGTTTAAAGGCTTCTCTCTGACTAAGTCTGCTTCTTCCTGGATTCCTTCTAGCACCTTGCATAGTGCCTGGCACATGGTAGCCTCTTGTTTGTTGAATTAGTTGAATACTCAATAAGAAATGTTTTTTCTCGATTCCTTTCTCTGTATCTTTGCTGTTTTTATATCCAGCACTAAAGGCAAGACAGCAGTAGACTTCACCTTGAAATTTCCACTTGCCTATTTAGATGGAAGCCTGGCTGTTTATAGCTTTGTGCTTGTAGTATGGTGGTGTCCTTAGGGACTGTTGAAATTTAGGTGGTTGAATTTGCATTTCCAGTGAATCTCCTCATTCTGCAGTTGTTATCTGATATTTTAGCTCTTTGGTTTCTTTTGTCTTGCAAATTTTTATTGAATTTTTTTTGACGTATAACTGATGTAAAGTGTACAATTTCTCCTGTATAGCAAAGTGACTTGGTAATACATTTATTTAATTATTTTTTTATCATAAAGTTTAAAAAATATGGAATGCTTCATGAATTTGCGTGTCATCCTTGCGCAGGGGCTATGCTAATCTTCTCTGTATCGTTCCAATTTTAGTATATGTGCTGCCGAGCGAGCATGGTAATACATTTATATATGTATACATGTAATGTGTTAGTCGCTAAATTGTATCTGACTCATTTGCTACCCCATGGACTGTAGCCTGCCAGGTCCCTCTGTCCATGGGATTCTCCAGGCAGGAAGACTGGAGTGGGTTGTTGTTCCCTTCTCTAGGGGATCTTCCCCACCCAGGGATGGAACCCAGGTCTTTTGCATTGCAGTCAGATTCTTTATCGTCTGAACCACCAGGGAAGCCCCATACCTGTGTGTGTGTGTGTGTGTGTATGCGCATATATATATATATATATATACTGCTTTCCATTAGGATTTGTGACAGGATATTGAACATAGTTCCCTGTGCTGCACAGTAGAACTTTGTTGTTTATTGGCCTGTTTTGTCTTAATTTTGGTGCACTGATTGGCATAGCAGGTGGGCTTATTTCATCCCATAGTCTTTGTCTGATGGAGTTCTTGTTTCTTGGCTATATAGTAAAATCATACTGACTTTTGTCAGGAAGAATTGGATTATGGCCCATAATCCACATTTGGAGGATGCAAAGAAGAATGCTACTTCCTTTGAAGAGCTCAAATTCAATACAGGCACTGTGTTTCTTAGATGGTTTCTGCTTTCCCCCAAATCTCTAGTGGACTTTCAGATTTCAGTGGACAGTTTTCCCACCTACTGTCCTAACTTTGATTCTGAATTTTGCTCTGTATTTCAGTTCATTCGCTCAGTTGTGTCCGACATGCACGGCAGCACACAAGGTCTGTCTATCACTAACTCCCGGAGTCTACCCAAACCCATGTCCATTGAGTCGGTGATGCCATCCAACCATCTTACTCTCTGTCGTCCCCTTCTCCTCCTGCCCTCAATCTTTCCCAGCATCAGGGTCTTTTCAAATGAGTCAGCTTTTCGCATCAAGTGGCCAAAGTATTGCAGTTTCAGCTTCAACATCAGTCCTACCAATGAACACCCAGGACTGATCTCCTTTAGGATGGACTGGGTGGATCTCCTTGCAGTCCAAGGGACTCTCAAGAGTCTTCTCCAACATCAAGTTCAAAAGCATCAATTCTGCGGCACTCAGCTTTCTTTATAGTCCAACTCTCACATCCATACATGACCACTGGAAAAACCATAGCCTTGACTAGATGGACCTTTGTTGACAAAGTAATGTCTCTGCTTTTCAATATGCTGTCCAGGTTGGTCATAACTTTCCTTCCAAGGAGTAAGCATCTTTTAATTTCACGGCTGCAATCACCATCTGCAGTGATTTTGGAGCCCAGGAAAATAAAGTCATCCACTGTTTCCCCATCTGTTTGCCATGAAGTGATGGGACTGGATGCCATGATCTTAATTTTCTGAATGTTGAGCTTTAAGCCAACTTTTTCACTCTCTTCTTTCACTTTCATTGAGAGGCTCTTTAGTTCTTCACTTTTTGCCATAAGGGTGGTGTCATCTGCATATCTGAGGTTATTGATATTTCTCTCGGCAGTCTTGATTCCAATTTGTGCTTACTCCAGCCCAGTGTTTCTCATGATGTACTCTGCAAATAAGTTAAATAAGCAGGGTGACGAATTTTGCTCTGTATAGAGGTAAATTTTATATAAAATGGCAAGACGGCCTGAGCTGCTTTTCCAGCTTTGGGGATCAAGTTAAAAGGTGATGGATTAAGTTATGTGTTGCGGGTCCTGGAGAATTTTGGTGATTTGCTTGGGGAGTTTACAAGACTCAGAATAAAACCATATTCATGGCTAAGATTTATTGTAGTGAAAGGATGCAAAGCAGAATCAGTAAAGGGAAATGATATGTGGAGAACATCTGGAGGAAACCAGCTAAAAGCTTCCAAGAGTCCCCATCCATGGGAGTTGGACCAGAAGTGCTTAATTCCTCCAACAACAAGTTGTAACAACACATGTGAAATGTTATATACCAGGGGAGTTCTGCCTGAGGCTCAGAGTCCAGGATTTCTGTTGGAGGTCATTCACAGAGGCATGCTATACCTTGGATGTACCAAAATGTGAGAATTCCAGAAGGAAATTTAAGTATAAAAACATAAACTACGTTGTACAAACAGTTTAGGCACAGTGAGCCACTCTTCCAACTTAGGGAAATTTTTCTGTCGCTTTAGGGAACTACTTGTCACTCAGGTTCCTGGATTCAGGGAAGGGCTGACTTTGCCGTCAGGCCTGTCTGAGGACAGTGGTCTCTGGCCTCTGTGTGAACTCTTCCGTGCAGTTGCTGCTCCAGCCTTTGGTGCTGTGGTGGTATCTGACCGCTACGTGAACAGGGCCTGGGTGTATTTTGCTCTGTTTGTAAATTGATTATTGTTAAATATAAGTTTTATATTTTGGGAAAGGTAATAATAGCCCTCAAGTTTGAATCAAATCACATGTATAAAAGGTGTATGGGAAGCTTTAGCACCTCTGCTACCTAGTAAGTAGATTTTCCTTCCCAGAGATTACTAGTTTTACCATTTTGTTAGATCTTTCCAGAGGTTTTTATGTACCCAAGCAAGTAAGTACAGGTCTGTCTTTATTTTTATTTTTCTTTTAAGAAATTTTGGACAGCTTCTTACTTGTCTCATAGCATTAGAGAGGTGCTTCGTTCCATGTAGTGGAGCAGAACGTCCCAGTTTATGCATGTGCCATAATCTATTAATATTTAACTATAGTCTTTTTTGGGGGGGGTTTACCTGGTGGCTCAGCTGGTAATGAATCCTCCTGCACCAGAGGAGACCCTGGTTCGATTCCTGGGTCGTGAAGATCCCCTGGAGAAGGGATAGGCTACCTACTCCAGTATTCATGGGCTTCCCTGGTAGTTCAGATGGTAAAGAATCTGCCTGCAATGCAGGAGACCTGGCTTTGATTTCTGTGTTGGGACGATCCCCTGGAGGAAGGCATGGCAACCCTCTCCAGTATTCTTGCCTGGAGAGTCCATATCTGGCTTTGATTTCTGCGTTGGGAAGATCCCCTGGAGGAAGGCATGGCAACCCACTCCAGTATTCTTGCCTGGAGAATCCCTATGGACAGAAGAGCCTGGTGGGCTACAGTCCATGGGGTCGAAAAGTCGGATACAACTGAGCAACTAAATACGCAACACAGCATGGTCTCTTTTTGTTGGACATCTCAGTTGCTTCCAGATTTTGTCTTTTAATTGCAAAGAATACTACAGTGAGTAAAAGTTGGACAAATATATTTTGCTCTTACATGATAAGTTTGTAGGTTATAGGCTGACTTCCTAGAAGTGCAATTGCTGGGACTGAGGATACATATGTTTTAAATTTTAACAACTATTGTGTAATTGCCCTTTAGAGAATTTGTACTAATTTATGTCAGCAGTGCATAAGAGGGCTTGTTTGACCACAGCCTCATCAGCTCAGCTTGTTGGCATGTCAGATAATTCTGACCAATGAATGATGGTAGCAAAGTATGTGCGATTTTAATATTTTACTTTTTAGGTAAACTTTAATGTTTTAGAATTTATGAACCATTTTGTATTTCACTTGTTGTGGAATATTCCTATCCTTTCCTCATTTTATTTTGAATTTATGGTCTTCAGTTTTTTAGAAAACATTTTTTTAAAATGTTTTTCTTTTACTTTTCTCCACTGCATTTTTAAAACTTTTTGTTTTTAAAAATTGTTTATTTTTGGCTGTGCTAGGTCTTTGTTGCTGCACAGGGTTTTCTCTAGTTGCTGCAAGGGGGGCCGCCCTCTAGTTGTAGTGTGTGGGCTTCTCATTGTGGTTTCCTCTTCTGTTACAGAGCATGCGCTCTAGGGCATGTGGGCTTCAGTAGTTGCAACTCCAGGGCTCTAGAGCACAGGCTGAATAGCTGTGGCCCACAGGCTTAGTTGCTCCGTGGCATGTGTGACCTCCTGGATTAGGCATCGAACCTGCGTCTCCTGTGTTGGCAAGCGGATTCTTTATTACTGAGCTACCAGGGAAGCATGGTCTTCATTTTGATTTGTAGTTCTTCGAATATTAGAGAGATTAGCTCTTTGCCATTTTATGATGTGAGTTGCAAATATTTTTCCTCATTAAGGTGTTAGAATTTTATAATGAATCAAATGTTTCAGTTCCGCTCCCCCTTTTCCTTCCCTAGCAAAACATTCTCTTTATCTTAGCAAATGTTCTCATTTGGCACCTGATTGACATCAACCAAAGACATCAGTCCAACAGACGTGGATGTGATCACTTGTAAACTTAACATTTGTAGGTCTCAGTCCCTATGAGTGTTAGAACACCTGCTCCTCCTTCTGATCCCTTGTGTGCGAGCTCAGTCATGTCTGACTCTAGCCTGCCAGGCTGCTATGTCCGTGGAATTTTCCAGGCAAGAATACTAGAGTGGGTTGCAGTTTCCTCCTTCAGAGGACCTTCCTGACCCAGGGATCAAACCTGCATCTCCTGTGTTGGCAGGCGGATACTTTACCACTATGCCACCCGGAAAGCCCCTCTTCTTGTCCCTTTGTTGTTCAGTCACTAAGTTGTGTCTGACTCTTTGCAAGCCCATGGACTGCAGCACACCAGGCTTCCCTGTCCTTCACTATCTCCTGGAGCTTGCTCAAACTCATGTCCATTGAGTCAGTGACACCATCCAGCCATCTCATCCTCCGTCACTGCCTTCTGCTCTTGCCCTCAATCTTGCCCAGCATCAGGGTCTTTTCCAGGGGTGGGCTTTTCCCACTAGGTGGCCATAGTATTGGAGCTTCAGCATCAGTCCTTCCAATGAATATTCAAGGTTGACTTCCTTTACGATTGACGGTTTGATCTCCTTGCTGTCCAGGGGACCCTGAAGAGTCTTCTCCAGTACCACGGTTGGAAAGCATCAATTCTTCAGTGCTCAGCCTTCTTTATAGTTCAGCTCTCACATCTGTACAGGACTACTGGGAAAACCATAGCTTTGACTCTATGGACCTTTGTTGGCAGAGTTATGTCCCTGCTTCTTAATATGCTGTCTAAGTTTGTCAATAGCTTTTCTTCCCAAGGAGCAAGCATCTTTTAATTTCATGGTTGCAGTCACCAACTGTAGTGATTTTTGGAGGCCAAGAAAATAAAATCTGCCACTATTTCCACTTTTTCCCCATCTGTTTGCCAAGAAGTGATGGGACCGGATGCCATGATCTTAGTTTTTTGAATGTTGAGTTTTTAAGTCAGCTTTTTCATTCTCCTCTTTCACCACTCATCAAGAAGCTGTTTAGTTCCTCTCTGCTTTCTGTCATTAAAGTGGTATCATCTGCATATCTGAGGTTGTTTATATTTCTCCTGGGAATCTTGATTCCAGGTTGTGATTCATCCAGCCTGACATGTCACATAATGTACTCCACGTATAAGTTAAATAAGCAGGGAGACAATATACAACCTTGATGTACTTATTTCTCAATTTTGAACCAGTCTGTTGTCCCCTGTCCGGTTCAAACTATTGCTTCTTGACTTGCATACAGATTTCTCAGGAGACAGGTAAAGTGGTCTAGTATTTCCATCTCTTTCTTTGACAGTTTGTTGTGATCCACACAGTCCAGGGCTTTAGCATTGTCAATGAAGCAGTAGTAGATGTTTTTCTGAAATTCCCTTGCTTTATCTGTGATCCAGCGGATACTGGCAATTTGATCTCTAGTTCCTCTGCCTTTTCTAAATCCTGCTTGTACCTCTGGAAGTTCTTGGTTCACGTATTGTTGAAGCCTCACTTGAAGGATTTTGAGCATGACCTTGCTAGAATGTGAAATGAGTGCAATTGTATGGTAGTTTGAAGATTCTTTGGCATTGCCCTTTTTAGGGGTTGGAATGAAAACTGACCTTTTCCAGTCCTGTGGCCACTGCTGAGTTTTCCAAATATGCTGGCGTACTGAGTGCAGCAGTTTAACAGCATCATGTTTTGGAATTAGAAATAGCTTAACTAGAATTCCATCACTCCACTAGCTTTGTTCGTTGTAATGAATGCTTCCTAAGGGTTACTTAACTTCATACTCCAGGCTGTCTGGCTCTAGGTGAGTGATCATGCCATCGTGGTTATCCTGGTCATTAAGACCTTTTTTGTACACTTCTGTGTATTCTTGCCACCTCCTCTTAATCTCTTCTACTTTTGTTAGGTCCTTGCCGTTTCTGTCCTTTATTGTGCCCATCTTTGCATGAAATGTTCCCTTGGTGTCTCCAGTTTTCTTGAAGAGAACTCTGTCTGGTCCTAAGTCTGTCCTCGGTGCACTAACAGTGCTGGCCACAAGATGGTGGAAGAGGCATGGTACTGCAGTCTGCTGGGATTGGAAGCCAAGCAGCGCCTTGAAAGCAAGTGAAAAGTTCTTTTTTCTCAGGCGACAGGACTACAGATAGGGTCCCAACCATGCTTACTCAACATACTTTGCCTGGGTTGGAATGATGATAAGGGCCATCCTCCCCAGTAGCACAGGGGAGGATTCACAAGCTGGTTTACACTTTTTTAAAAAGAGATAGAGCGTCTAGGAAGTCTCGTCTCAGGGAATGGGACAGAGAACTCACAGGTTGGCTCTGCTGGCCAGGGGAAACACTGATTCCAGCTTAGCAGCCTTTGTACGATGAGTCCTTTCCCAGATCCATGAAAATACTCAGAGCTCATCAGACCATTTTACTTATATGCAGTTTTCACCTGTCAGAGGAGGTCAGGACTGTCTGGCCTGGGGCTTTTACTAGGATCTTAATTCAGGATTAGCTATTTAAATCGTGAAATAAGAGGGAATACATTTTAAGGATCAAGGCTGCTCTTTGTATCACTGCTGAGGGAAAATTGTAGACCTGATTGGTACAGAGAAAAGTGGGCACTGGGCAGGGCACAAGCTGACTTTCAGGCCCAGGCTTCTTCAGTGGTATGGTGGAAGTGGGGCCTCATCCTGGGGTCCAGCATTGTAGCTTATCCTCTGCCAAGCTCATTGCCTCAGCAGGTGCAGCTCATGAGCAACTGCAGGAGAATGAAGACGTGAGACATGATCAGGCCAAACCAGAGCTCCTAAGTCTGCTGCACCAGCTTCTGGCACAGTATCGTCTTGAATTTGAATTGTGTATACCCAGAAAAGGCTGAGGAGAAGGCAGTGGCAACCCACTCCACTGCTCTTGCCTGGAAAAGCCCATGGATGGAGGAGCCTGGTGGGCTGCAGTCCATGGGGTCGCTACGAGTCAAACACGACTGAGCAATTTCACTTTCACTTTCATGCATTGGAGAAGGAAATGGCAACCCACTCCAGTGTTCTTGCCTGGAGAATCCCAGGGACGGGGGAGCCTGGTGGGTTGCCATCTCTGGGGTCGCACAGAGTTGGACACGACTGAAGTGACTTTGCAGCAGCAGCAGAAAAGGCTGAGCACAGCCAACCGCTTCTCTCTGTCCTGGGAGAGGTGCATGGAGATGATAGTGGGGAAGTAGGTACCAAGCTTGTGAGCAGCAAAGAAGGGCACAAACATGTTTAGCCAGGAGAGGCTTGAAGCCAGGCTGTAATCACATAGGGCCAGTAGCACAAAAAACACCCGGCAAGTGCACAAAGATCTCAGAGGCAGTGAATCCTAGCCACTGCACCAGCTTCCAGAGCAAGAAAAGCATCATGCAGGTTGAGTGAACCAGGGTCCAGCTGAGCGTCCCACACACCGGGCCTGTGCCCCACTCCCATGGGCCTTGCTGATGCCTGCTGCTGTTGCTGCCAGGCGAGTGAGAGGTAGTGAGCAGTCCTGCTTGCTGCGACCCTTGGCCCCAGTGCCACTGATTTCCCAGCCACGTCTTGGGCCCCAGCACTGGCCACCAGAGGATGCTCATCTTGACCTGCTGGTTCTTTTGGATTTTGTGTTATATTTAGAAAATCCCTTCTGTTTTTTTCCTTCTTTCTTTGACAGTAAAGATTCTCTTTTATTCTGATACTCATGATTTTTAAAAAGTATTTACATCTTTGGTTTGAAATATATTTTGGTGTTTGGTGTTTAGTAGGGATGCAACTTTATTTTCTGTATGGCTGTCCATTTGTCCCACGACTATAGAATAGTTCAGATTTTCTGTACTGGTTTGAAAGATTTCCTTGATCATAATACAGAATAAAATGCCATAGCTATTTGAGGGCATTTCTGGGTTTTACTGTGTTTTTGACAGGTATATTTTAAATCAGGAATCTCCATAATACGGTAAATTAAAAAATTCTTTTTATAGGTTCCTTGTTTCTATACTGATGCAGAAAGACGATCAGTGATGGATGCAACACAGATTGCTGGTCTCAATTGTCTGCGATTAATGAATGAAACTACTGCAGGTAAGTGATTATTAACTGAAATTTTTTTTTACTTGCTCAATCTCAGAGGTTGTGAAATCTTAAAACCCTAGGGTTTCTTATTCCATATTTTACTTGGAACACTTACCACCAGTGTCACAGTATTTTTGGGTATGCTGTCACATATGAAGAGTTTACTTGACAAGTTCTTTTTCTGTATTTTCATAGCACTTTGATATTTAATTGCATGCTTTCTTGGAAAGGAACTGCATTTATTGTGTGCTTGGAGCATTGCTTTGGTTTAAATATTGGGTTTTTCTCACAACTTGTGGGCCAGTAGAGGCAGAGGGGTGGGGTTTATAAAGCAAGATCTCAGGAGGCAGAATATATGGGAATGTTGAGAGATGGCACAAGGGAATATGGGGGAAAATGTTTGGAAAAGTGGGAGAAAGTGGTTTTGGAAAAAATTGCCACAGTTTCTGGAACTGGAAATTGGAAACATTAAGGAAGCCAAAATGAAATGAATGTCAACGTATAACTCTTCAAAGTCAGTGTTCTTCATGAATAAACCATGCAGAGCTTATAAGGATTTTGAATTGTTTTTTTGCAGTTGTAAATCTGTTTTTTCCTATGTAAATGAATTTTAAGTTTACTACTAAAATGATAACATTATGTTTATTTTTCTATTATTGTGTAGTTGCTCTTGCATATGGAATCTATAAACAGGATCTTCCTGCCTTAGAAGAGAAACCAAGAAATGTAGTTTTTGTAGACATGGGGCATTCTTCTTATCAAGTTTCTGTATGTGCGTTTAACAGAGGAAAACTTAAAGTAAGTATATTTTTCCCAGGAAACTATATTACAGATGTATGATAATTAGGAATTCAGGAGAGGCAACTTAAAGTAGTTGGTTATAGAGTTGTGTTTCAGGGCTTCCCTGGTGGTCCAGTGATTAAGAATCCTCCTGTCAGTTCACGGGATATGGGTTTGTTCTCTGGTCCAGGAAGATGCCATGTGCTGCTCAGCGGTGAAGCCTGTGTGCCACAGCTGCTGACCGTGTGCTCTAGAGCCCTTGGGCTGCGACTGTTGAGCCTGTACGCCACAAGAACTGAAGCTTGTACGCCTAGAGCCTATGCTTTGTGGCATAGCCACTGCAACTAGAGGAAGCCCACTAGAGAAAGCAGTGAGGGCCCACCTCAGCCATAAATAAATACATCTTAAAGAATTTAGTTTCACTAGTGAAACTTGGTATGAGCCATCTGAATTAGAAATTAGTTGTGTAGGGGTGGGGTGGAAGCTGGAAGCCCAAAATAATGTTTGAGGTGTTGACAAGATAATGAAGCAAAGAGCATAGAACTTGAGGAAGAAGTCCTTAGATTCCTGAGCCTGTTTTTTTTTAATCTGTAATGTGGGGAAAATAATGCTTGCCTTGCAGATTTACTAGGGAGTCTTTAACATATAGTTGCTTCAGATGTCTTACACCAAGGATTAAGGGATGATAAAGGTATTCTCTTAAGGTTTTGAGTGTTCTGAGGACAGGGTGGAGTGACCAGAACTTGGCTGGCCAAAGAAACCAGCCTAGGAGTTCTAGTCTAGCTGTCTAGAGATGATAGAGCTCTTTTGTAGGCAGTTTTGTACACAGAGAAGTCTAGTAATGTTAATGGCAGAGAGGGACCAGAGGGTGATGCTGGTCACAGTTGAAAAAAGCTTTTTTAGTATGTACATACACTTCCTATATTAGTCTCTTTATTAGGGAAAAACTTATGTAGAGTGAAAGGTATAGATTTTAGGTGTTCAGTGAGTTAAAAAATTTTTTTTAATTGAAGTGTAGTTGATTTATTACAATGTTGTGTTTCAGGTATTACAGCATAGTGATTCAGTTATACATATATTAATAAATTCTTTTTCAGATTCTTTTTTCCTTATAGGGAAAATTACAAAGTTGCAAAATACTGAGTGTAGTTCCCTGTGCCATACAGTAGGTCCTTATTGGTTCTCTATTTATAGTAGTGTTAATCCCATCTTCCTAATTTATCCCTCTCCCTCACCTTCCTGAGGTTAACTTTGGTAACTGTAAGTTTGTTTCCTATGTCTGTGGGTCACAGTCAGATTTGATAGTATTTGCTAGTTCCTCAGTGGTACATAAAATCAGTTTTCTATCTTGGTGATTTTATCTAGAATGTACTTAAAAACCAAGGATAATCTGCAAACTTGCTTTAATTACTTGGGTTCTGTATCAGGGTTTTTGCTGCTGTGTCTAAATTGGCTTTCTGCTCCTCCAACTTGGGGATTAGTTCAATGGAACTACCTATCCCAGAATAAGTATTTGTTAGATTTGAAGGGTATTTTGAGTTTCTCTTTGTTACAGTCCTTTGTTTCTTTGACAAATGGACTTGCTTCTGCTTTATATTCTGATTTGTTTCCCTATTTTTTAATATAAAGCAGATCTTGGGGATGGTTGGGAAATAAGAGGATCATGATTTTTACAGATATAAATGATGGACCAAGTGTTCTTCTCAGTGTTTAAGCTTTACTTTTATCCATAATAGGATTATTTCTAAATTCCAGTTTATACTCTCACCTTTTTAGAGAGCAGGTATTGGCTATGATTTAGCCTTGTCTTTGAGTCAGAGTGATGTGTATTAGTATTTGCTTCACTATCAGCTGTCACTTGTCAGTTTTCCAATTACAGTTTAAATTTAACTATCAAAATACTTACTATAGAATCATACCAAATTTGGAAACATATATGTGTAAAGGGAAGACATCCATGATCTTACTACAGAATATTTCATTCTAGTCATTTATGAAAACAAAATTGGAATTAACACAGACTGTATTCAGTTCTGTGTTTTTTGTTTTTTTCTTTCTTTCATGAGATCACTCACTAAGAACAACTTCCTGAGGACATTTAACATTCTTTGAAGAGATGGTTTTGAGGGTGTTGGTCATCATTTACTTAGCCAGTTTTCTATTATTGAATCTGATTAGATCTAGTTTACTTCTGATTTCTTTTAGAGATTTAGAAAAGGATAACCGAACCTAATTATAGTCTTCTGTGTTGAAACAGATTACTGTGAGTTAAGGCTTTAGCATATTTTCTGGTGGTAAATTGCATGGAGCTAAATAATTAGTAACCTTTGGTTATTTGCAGTTTTGTGGTAGAGATAAGACTAGAACTGTATATGATATGTTAGTGTATTGGCTCTTGAATTATAATTATTGTTTGGAGTCAGATTGGTGTAGTGGGGAAGTCATAGGTTTTGAAATTGAGCTTGGGTTTTGAATTCTACTTCTACCATTTAATATCTTTGTGACCTATAGATTGTCTGATCTGTCTAGATCTGTAAATTGAGGGTTATGATGCCTCATTTCATAGTGGTTGTAACCTTGTTTAAATGACATAGGCATGTTGCCTTGTTTCGACCTTAATGTCCCTTACTGCCTTTTTATTACGGTTTACTAGTTAAATATTTGTCATGGTAAAATTTTAAATTGGTTAGTTTTTTAACTAATTATTATCTTTTCCCAAAGGTTCTGGCCACTGCATTTGACACAACACTGGGAGGCAGAAAATTTGATGAGGTGCTAGTAAATCACTTCTGTGAAGAATTTGGAAAGAAATACAAGCTAGACATAAAGTCCAAAATCCGTGCATTATTACGACTGTCTCAGGAGTGTGAGAAACTCAAGAAATTGATGAGTGCAAATGCTTCATACCTTCCTTTGAGCATCGAATGTTTTATGAATGATGTTGATGTTTCTGGAACTATGAATAGGTAACCATATTAATATTTTGATGGTAAACTGAACTGTGGAGTTTCTCTATATTAGCCTTAATTATCTAATTGTTGAAGTTATCATGATTGTTACAACTTCAGATTTTGTAGGTAAAAATTAGAGGTCATTCACGATCTTGCCTTTAATGTGAAGTTTGGGTTTGATTATTCAAATAATGTCAGCTATTAGGTTTGTTCTGGTTAATTGAATGTTCCAAGAAATTGGCAGTTCTTTGACATGTGCTTAACGTGTATTAAACATGAGTCACACACACAAAAAAACAAAAAACATGAGTCACTGGTTTTCATAAATTCAGGGCAGAGTGCTTTAATGCAGAATTATATGGAATTTGCTTTAGTCATTGATTCAGAAATTGTGTTTTTGAGTAATTCAGTATCACTTGAGACAACAGGCCTTTTTGCATAACATGATAACGAATTCTGGGTAATTTGATGTTTCAAGATTATTCTCAGAAACACCCAGAATGTTTCCGTTACCAGGTTAGGTTGCTTGGATGTTCTTCATGATGTGAACTCTACTAACTGGTAGAATTCAAAGACTAATGAATTGCTTGGGAAAGTGTGGCCTGAGCCATGCTCAGAATATTGAGATGGACATCAGAATTGCTTCCAGTCTGCCAGAATTAGATTACTGTGCCTAGTAACCAGATTGTACTCACCTTTCTCTTCTACTTGAAGTGATGGTTTTCATTTTTATTTTTATTTTTAGTTTAAACCATAGCTTTCTTGTGTTTGTTTAATAGGTGGAATCCTACACTGTGTGTTTTGCTTCTTTTGTGTCTGGCTTCTTTAACAATGTTTTTAAGTTCATTCACATTGTATGTGTTCGTACCTCATTGCTTTTTATGGCAAGTAATAATCCATTTGTGTGGGCATATCACATTTTATTTATCCATTCATCAATTATTGGACATCTGTGTTTCCACACAGATGGCTTTTTTTTCCACATAGCTTTTGTGATGAGTGCTTTATAAACATTCACCACAAGTTGTTTGAGTATCTTGTTTTCAGTTCTTTTGGGTATATAGCCAGGAGTGGAATTGCTTGGTCTTGTGGTAATTATATATTTAGATTTTTGTGGAATCACCAAACTGTTTGCAGTGTGCCCAGTGCATCTCTAGTGGAAGCGCTCACTTTCCTCCTAAAAGCTCAGAAATAGTTATTTCACATAAAAATGAGTAAAATACTGAGTTACCATATGATTCAGCATTTCTGCTGAACATATTCAAGAGAACTGAAAACACATTTACACAAAAATTTATACACAAATGTTCATAGCAGCACTGTTTATAATACCCCCAAAATGGAAACAACCCAAATTCCCATCAACTGATAGACTAGGTAAAACTCAACTGAAACAAAATATGATATGTCCATATAATAGAATATTATTTGGCAGTTAAAAAACTGTTGTACAGATGCATAGTATAGTATGAATGAACCTTGAAAAGTATATGCTAGAGGAAAGAAATAAGTTAAAATTACTACATTTTGTCTAATTCTATTTATATGAAATATCCAAAATGAGTGGTTGCCTAGGGCTAGAGTTTTGGTGGAGTTGGAAGAATAATGTTAATGGTAGTGAAAATACTCTTTTAGGGTGATGAAAATGTTTTAAAATTGATAGTGGTGATGCTTGCACAATTCTGAATATACTAAGAGCCATTGAATTGTGCACTTTAAATAGGACACTTTTTGTGTCATTTCTATTGTATGTGAATTTAAATTTTAGTAAAACTTTATAAAAAGGAACGACCTTTACCACTACCACTGCTGTCTTTCTAGAATGCTCTCTGTACTTTGTTTTTCATGTTTTTATTACGGACATTTTCACATATGCAGCAAAAGTGGAAGAATTTTACAGTGAACATTCTTATCCTGCCACTTAGTCTCTACCGATAATATTAACTTTTCCTTTTTTTTTCACATAGCTATTGATCTGTCCATCCTTCTATCTTTTGATGCATCTCAAAGCCATCTATCTATACACTTTTAAGTATGCATATTAACCAGAGTTTAATGTTTGTAGTTTTTGGTGTACTTTTACATGAAGACATGCTCAAGTTTTAAGTGTCGTTTGCTGAGTTTTGACAGTTGCATGCATCCTGCAGACCACTACTCTCCATCATTTTAGTTTTCTCAGGCCTCCATCCTCAAGGGCAGCCGCTGATAAGGTCTTTTATTTTGAGGGGCATAGATTACATTAACCTTTGCTAGAAGTATAAATGAGATCATACAGTATTTCATTTTTTGTGTAAGACTTCTTTGGTCAGTATGAAACTGAGATTCATTTAGTTCAGCAGTCCCCAACTTTTTTGGCAACAGGGTCTGGTTTTGTGGAAGACAATTTTTCCACAGATGTTGGGGGTAGGGAAGATGGGAATGATTCCTGGATGATTCAAGAGCATTACATTTATTATGCTGCAGCTGATCTGACAGGAGGTGGAGCTCAGGTAGTAATGCGAGTGATGGGGAATGACTGTAAATACAGATGAAGCTTGCCCTCCAGTCACTTCCTGCTGTATGGCCTGGTTCCTAACAGGCCAAGGACCAGTACTGGTCTGTGGCCCAGGGTTTGGACCCCTGACTTGGTTGTTGCCTATATCACCTGTTCCTTCTTGTGTATTGCTGCCTAGTATGACACTGTAGATTTAGGTTTTCTCCTATTGCTAGACACTTAACTCTTTCCACTTTTTTGATATTGGGAACAAAACTCATTTTAAACTTGATTTTGGTTGCTACACATCTTCATCAATATTGGTATTAGTGATCTTGAATTTTTGCCATTCTGGTGGGTGCATTCAATACCTCTACTGTTTTTCTTTTTTTGAAATGTAATTCGTAAAAGTTAACACATTTATAATTCAGTGGGTTTTAATGTATTCACAGAATTGTGCAACCATTACCACAACCCAGTTTTAGAATATTTTCATCACCTCATAAAGAAACTCTAGATGAGCTATCATTCTGTAAAAAGACATGGGAAAATCTTAAATGTATATTTCTAAGCAATAGAAGTCAATCTAAAAAAGGCTGTATGATTCCAACTGTATGACATTCTAGAAATATTTGACATTGTATATGACATTCTATATGATAACGATATGACATTCTAGAATAGAGAAAACTGTAGAGACAGTAAAAAAGATCAATGGTTAGAGGTTCAGTGGAAGGGAGGGATGAATAGAGTACGGAAGATTTTTAGAGTAGTGAAACTGTTAAGTATGGTACGGTAATGGTGAATACTTGCACCGTTTGTCAAATTATGTAGAACCTTAATTTATACTACCATGTGTCAGTATTGGCTCATCAGTTTTTAGAAATGTATCTTACTAATGCAAGATGCTAATAGGGAAAATGAGTTGGGTATAAGAGGTGTATGGAAATTCTCTGTACTTTCTGTTTATTTCTATGTAAACCTAAAACCAGTCTAAAAAATAAAGCATTAATTAAAGGGAAAAAAAAATCTCCTTACCCAGTAACTTGTCTTTCCACATCTGTTCTTCCTGTCCTTAGCCCTAGGCAGTCATTAATCTACTTTGTCTCTTTGGATTTAGTTCTGAACATTTCATATAAATGAGGTCAGTCATATAATATGTCTTCTTTGTGATTGCCTTACTTTACCTAGCATAATATTTTCAAAGTTCATCCATGTTTCAGCGTGTAATCAGTCCTTTTTATTCTTTTCATCCCTTTTTGCTGAATACAGTTAATGGAAATTAGGGTTTTTCACACTTTTTTGCCTCTAGTGAATAATGTTGGTGTGACCATTCATGTGTGGAGTTTCGTGTGGTCACATGTTCTCAGTTGTGGAGAAACACCGAGTGGCATTGCTGGGTCATATGGGAGCACCATGTTTAATATGTTGAGGAATTGCTAAACTCTTCCAAAGTGGCTGTAACATTTTCTATTCCTGCTAAGAATGTCTATGAGGTCCAGTTTCTCCATATCTTTGCCAGTGCTTGTTATGTCTGTCTGATTATAGTCATTTATTCTATATAAAAGTGGACTGTGATTTAACCTGTTTTTTTTTCATAGAGGCAAATTTCTGGAGATGTGTGATGATCTCTTAGCTAGAGTGGAGCCACCGCTTCGTAGTATTTTGGAACAGGCCAGTAAGTATTGTTGTGATTGAATTGTTTATCTTGGGCTGTTTGAAAAATGTTAACTCTCTCCACCCCCTAATCCCCAGTTTTACCAGTTTTCATTGTATGAACTACTTCAATGCAATATTAAACTTCTTTTTACCAATATCTTCCCCCTGCAGTATCTCCAGTAGTATTTGGGAAAGTCTTAATAGTTTTCCCTGGAAACAGAATTCAGACAGATTCAAAGATGGGTTTAATGTCTCAAGTATTTCATGGTGGTAAAAACTATCTTTAGCAATGTTGCTGTGTGGTGGTTTTGTAGGATTTTCTGTCACTGAATCTTGTTGACTAAGAAGGGGGAGGATATGATAACCACATACTTAATTTAATCTTAGTGTAAAAGGTAGAAGTTTGATTTAGGAATATATATTACTGTTGTTTCCCAAATTTTTGACAGACCTTTTCTTAGAGTCCACTCTTGTGTTGAGATGTACTCTGATCTGACACAGGCTCAGATGAGAAAATGGAGCGATTCTGACAAATGCATGTTCTTTTCATACTGGTACAGCCCATTTCTTTAAATAGCCCTTCTCAACAGATTGTTGCATAAAATGTGAGCAGGAAACCAGGTGGTCTTAAGAGGTATTTTATGAATGACAGCAGAGGCTTCGTGGTGCCCTCTGTCCTCCTACTAGGAGGACTGAACCTGTGCTGTAATCTGAGCCAGCAGGGCCCTGAGGTCCCTTGGCTGGTACTCTCAGACCGTATTCTGAAGTCTGTTGAGTCTTAGTCCATACAGGCCTGTCAGGCTGGGTCAGGCCGAACTTCCTTACCGCTTTGTGTCAGCCCTTTTATTTTCTTTATGGCTAGCTTAACTGTTGGTATTTTAACACTTACTTGTGTGAGTCTTTCTGAGATTACAGGACTTAAGCACTATAGGACTTTAGATGTTCCTCACTCTCACCTCTTAAATCTCAGTACTGTTGTGCCACCCCTGCCCTCGTTATTTTGAGCATTAAAATATAACTACCTGCTTCTAAATGGCACACACTTTTGTGTGTATGTTACTGTGAAGGGGATGAAGAGTGGCAGTGGGTTTTCTTACATATTTGTGAATTATTTTGTTGTGGTAAGATGTCATGTTGCTTTTATTTCATTGTAAAACACAAAAGATTCTTTTAATCTAAATGTCTATTCTAATTGTTTTTAAATAGAGTTAAAGAAAGAAGATATTTATGCAGTGGAGATAGTTGGTGGTGCAACACGAATCCCTGCAGTGAAAGAGAAGATCAGCAAATTTTTTGGTAAAGAAATTAGTACAACACTAAATGCCGATGAAGCTGTTACGCGAGGCTGTGCCTTGCAGGTGAGCTTGCTTGCTTTCCTAGGTGGCCACTGACAGGTCATTTTAGCAGCACAGCAGTGGCTAATGTATCCAGCTAGTCTGAGACTAGCTCCGTGATTTTAAGGTCTAAGATTCTGAAACTTTTGTTTTAAAGTTGATACTAGAGGTGGCGTTCATAAATGGAATTGTTTGTACTATATAACATGTAATAAGATGAAAGAATTTACTAGAAACATAAGTAGGCTTGAAATACTGCTAGAATTTGGCATATTTGTTACATGAAGTAGTGTTATACATCAGTTAAATAAAGGTTGAGATTAATGGAAAAATAAGGAATAGCTAGATTAATGGGTGATTTGACAAATGATAGATGCTTAGAAAACCACTTATGTAGATACTGCTAAATTATTAATGTAAGTAGATGCTCTTCTGAAGTCATTTTTCTTATAGGTTTTATAATAGTTAGTTCATAATGTCTACTTGCCAAATGGAATTTTTAAAAATTCTTATTCTAGTGTGCAATCTTATCGCCTGCTTTCAAAGTCAGAGAATTTTCTATCACTGATGTAGTGCCATATCCAATATCTCTGAGATGGAATTCTCCAGCTGAAGAAGGGTCAAGGTAATGTTTTTTTAATCATTTTTGTACTTAAGAAGTTAAGTCTTGGTAAATACTGTTTCAGCTTACACAAATCTCTTATGTTATAGTCATGAAATAGACTGATAATTTACTTTACTCATCAGAATAGGTTTGTGTCCTTACTAGTTTAGTTTATTTGATCCTGCTGAAATAATTGGTGCCTTTTATGTGCCTTGGTGGCTCAGATGGTGAAGAGTCGCCTGCAGTGCGGGAGACCTGTGTTTGATCCCTGGGTCGGGAAGATCCTCTGGAGAAGGAAATGGCAACCCACTCCAGTATTCTTTCCTGGAGAATCCCGTGGATGAAGGAGCCTGACAGGCTACAGTCCATGGGGTTGCAAAGAGTTGGACATGACTGAGCGACTTCACTTTCATTTTCATGTGTCGATTGAAGTGTGTTTGTGTGTTTAAAACTGATGCTGTACACACACATACATTTTTTTTTCCCCTTGGAAACTGTTATAAACTGGAAATGATGCCAGTTGAGAAGAGTAACTAGAGTTGTACAATAATTACAAAACTAGAATACCTGGGTAAAAGTGTTAGAAATGTCCTAAATTTGTGTTTGTCTTTTTTCTTCCATTCAGTGACTGTGAAGTCTTTTCAAAAAATCATGCTGCTCCTTTCTCTAAAGTACTCACATTTTATAGAAAGGAACCTTTCACTCTTGAGGCTTATTATAGCTCTCCTCAAGATTTGCCTTATCCAGATCCTGCTATAGGTAAGTAAAGAGTTGGGAATTTAAAAAAAAAAAATCGTGTACTTTGGAGAACGGGATTAGCAAAGCAAGTATAATATACTGAAATTTGAGTATTTTAAATCACATGCACAAAAAACCTTTGGGAATAGCAAATCGAGTATAATATACTGAAATTTGAGAACTTTAAATCACATGCACAAAAAAAACCTTTCAGTCTTATTATCAGGTTCAGAACCAGCAGGATGGTCATTATTTAATTTGAGGATCTCCTACTGTGGACTGAAGTTTTTTTTTTTTTAAAGGTTTTTAAAATTAATTTTAATCAGTTAAAAAAATTTTTTTAATTGATTAAAATTAATTTTGGCTGTACCATGTAGCTTATGAGATCTTAGTTCCTTGACCAGGGATCAAACCTGTGTCCTTGGCAGTGAAAGCATGGAGTCCTGACCGTTGGACCACCAAGGAATTCCCTGGGCTGTAGTTCTTGGTTAATGCACGTTATTGTTACACTTTGTGCATAATGGGATGCTGGTTACTGAAAGTGTTCAGTTCTGACCCTAACATAGAGTTAGGTGTACGCAGAAAAATTATTAGCAGATTGTGACAATCGGTATCATAGGTTATGGAACCATGTTGTCTTCATTCTTCATTGATTATGAGAAACTTAGTATCTGGAAATAATACCAGTTGAGGAGAGAGAATCTAGAGTTAATGATAATTATAGAACTAGGGTACATGGGTAAAGTATTAGGAACATCCTGAATGGCACTTAGAAGCTTAGAAAGTTAACCTACTGTGTTTTCCTCACTTGTAAAACAGGAAATAAACATGATAATTCATAGTTTACAGAGTTTTATGAGATTAAAAACGTGAGCACAATGCTAGTATAGTAACTGAATCTAGAAATGGCAGTTTCTTAATAAGTGACAAAGAATATGGAATCTTTGGGGTTTTTAGTAGATGAAAATGTGACAAATCTGTTGTAGGAATTTACTCTGCAGTAGCATATAAAGATGAATTGGGATAAGGGACTAGAGGGAAGGACATGTTTGAAGAGTTAGGAGATGCTTGAGTTCTTAATTGGGAGAAGATGATTAAAAGTTTGATTATATGTGAAAGAAGAAGGAGAAATCTGATGACATATTAAGATTCTAAGAGTGCCCACTTTGCTTATCTGAAGTATCATGCTACTGACCTTTCACTGAGAAATTGACATAATTTCACTGAGGAATTGCCTGGCAGTATGGGCATACATTTGTGTTTGAATTCATCCTCTTAGGTTATGTGTTCTCTTTTGTCTTTCGTGTCCTTAGCTCAGTTTTCAGTTCAGAAAGTCACTCCTCAGTCTGATGGCTCCAGTTCAAAAGTGAAGGTCAAGGTTCGGGTAAATGTCCACGGCATCTTCAGTGTGTCCAGCGCGTCTCTCGTGGAAGTGCACAAGTTTGAGGAGAATGAGGAGCCGATGGAAACAGACCAGAATGCAAAGGAGGAAGAGGTAATCGAGCCAATTTTATACCATTTTAGGCCATTTATAATGGCTCAGAGGTGACGCCTGTCTAGAAATTCTAGCAAATAGGGCGACAGAGCTGCTGAGGGGAGGTTTGCATGCATACCCCATCATGTGTGAACTAGCACAGAGTCTTTATATGGAATTTGTATAGAAATGGGACATAGTTGGCTTCCTCCTTTAGACCATGCACTTGTCAATTTAAGTGATTCTTGATTCTTTTGTGATTACTGGAGAATGCTGAGTCTCAGTTATTATTTCATAGGTAGCATAGGATTCACACCCATTTGTTGGAGTCATGCACTAGGCCTTGTCCTTATTGTGTGTAAAAATCAAGGCTTTATAAAACAGGGCACGTTTAAGTTTCATCCCCACAGATTTTGTTAAAGTTGGTTTGGGCTGTGGCCCAGGTGTTTGTTTTAAAAACCTCCGAGGCTATTATAATATGCTGTAGGCATTGAAAGCTAGTATGATTCAAGGTCTCTACAGACATCTTTATTATTGTCAGGCTTTGTTCTTTAAGCACTTCTAACAGAATTTTCAAGGTGTCCACTTTCCCTAATGCATACAGTGGTTGTACTTTAGAGGATGAAATGTCTGATTTTAAAAACTACTGGAAGAAGTTTAGACTTTTGAGAGAAATGTGTTCGTGAGGAAGCAAGGAGAAACTCATGTTCTCTTCAGATTTTATTGTGTTAAATATTGCCACACTGTGTACTTCTGAGTACTGCTGTGGCTTTATAATGTAGTTCTGTAAGCACTCTTGTTTACATAAGGGCCAGGCAAATGTTATCTCCATTGTACAGGTGTGGTAACTGAGATCCAGAGAGGAAAACTTTTGTGTTCTAAGTATAACATGTATGTCATAGCTGGAATTAGAGTCTGGTTTGTCTGATTGCTGGTAATTAGCTGGACTTCCATATCCTGTGATTTTGCCCATGTGTTGTGAAAGTTGCTTTAGTCTTCCGCTAGTACTTCCTGGTTTCAGAATTCGATGTGACCTATTTTTCAGAAGATGCAAGTGGACCAGGAGGAGCCACATGTTGAAGAGCAGCAGCAGCAGACCCCAGCGGAAAATAAGGCGGAGTCTGAAGAAATGGAGGTATAAATTGTATCTTACACTGTGTTTTGCTGTCTTTTTTACATACATGGTTTTGACCTGACATATGATGTCTTGGAAAGCGATTATATTAGAAATCTTAATTTATTTGAATTTATTTGGAATCGTTTTTTTAAAAACAATCCCCCAAATTTAGAAGTTTGGCTTCCAGCACATATCCAGGCTGCCTTAATGGCCTTTAGAAATATTAAAATTGTAAACATTAATGAACACTCTGAGTCTTCCTTAAATAATGTATGACAAGTTCCAGGCTAGTACTCTTAAAGGCAAAGTTATATCAGTTCTCATAATTTTGACATGTTATAGTCTTTATAATTTAAGAGATCAGTGTAACATTCCCCTAAGAGCTGTTTAACACTGTGTAGCAGGAAGAGAGAGAATACAGAGGTCTTTCAGTTCTGCCTTGCATAGAGATAAAACTCAATAATATTAACTCCGCAATACTTAAAAGCCTTTCATAAAAAAATGTAACAACTTTCTGCTTTAGTTTCCAAGAAGCCAGAAAACTGATCTCTAAATTTGAAGCTTTACATCCCTGTGCCTCAAATTCTGAGGTGCTCTTTTGATTTACATCAATTTTACATGAGGCTGATTGTCCCATTTAAGAACGGTTTGAGTATTGTGATTTTCTTTTTTTAAATAAATATTCAACTGGAAAATCCCTGGGCAAGGCCTTACCAATCAATATTTTAATATTGAAAATTGAAGTGTTTATTTAACACAATATTTTTTGAGCAGAAAATTCCCTTAGGCCTTGAAGCTTTTAAGTTCCTAACTTTTAGACCAAAAGCTCTCAGTGCAGTGGGGTGAAGTTGAGAGCCATGTGGTGGACCTTATTTCCCACCATGATAAAACTAGATTTCTGCAGATCTAGTAGCTCTGCCCTGTCAGTGTAGTTTCAGAGTCTTACTTTTGTAGTTTTCTAGGTAATTTTTAATGGACCTAACTATTGATACATAGCCTAATACAAAAGAAGTCGAAAGGAGAAAATTTCAAATCATTTGCTCGAGATTACAGGACTGTATTATTGTTGAAATGTCTGTCTCAAGCACTGTGAATCTGTTAGCAGTGAGCCTTGGGGTCCTCGGGAAGTCCATGGGAAATAAAAGACCTTGTAAACTTGGCTAAGGTTGTGCAGCACCCATCAGTCCCACTCACGAGACTGTGCTGCTATCCCGTGTCTGCCAGCATATTTGAAGTTTTAGAGCAAGGTTTTGTAGTGTGTTTGGAAAGTGTGTTTGGCAAGATGGTCTTTGAACTTTAGTCTGGATGGCATGTGGGAAGAAAGCACTCAGAAACCCTAGTTTGACTTAGCTTAGCGATTGGTCCATGCTGGTTTCTGAATGGCTGTTACTAATAGTCATCTTACCCATAACATATTCTTGACTAATAGTGAAACATGATTTTTTCAAATTTTGTCAACTCTTCTGAAACTTATCTTTACATCGAAATACTGTTCTAAATAATAATATACTGAAATACAGTTTGTAAATAATATTTAAATGAATGTGTAACATTTTTTGGGTCCTTTACAATCTGTTCTTTAACTTTCAAGTTTCCATGTTTAAATTTTATCATCAGCATTGAAAACGGCTTTTTTCTTTTTTTTTTTGAAAACAGCTTTTCTTACAAATTATTTATGACATTGCAGGGTGTGATATCACCTTATAAGGTTTTTCTGATTGTGGCATTTAAAAAAGTTTGGCAGAGCCTTAAGGAGGCTCAAATCTGGTGTCCATTTTCATGTGGGTTAACAAATTTTAATTATTTTAACTTTGCAAATAATTGTAAAAAGAGAAAATAATCGACAGAGGAAGTCATGCTCACAGATGCTTTAATGTCTTGTAGGCCTTTTCGGAGGTAACCTTTTGTTGCCTGGGTTGGGGGCAGCAGTGGGGGAGAGCAATAACTATTTTTCTTTGTTCTTGAAGGTGGGGGAGGAGAAAGGAATGAGGTGGGCCTGACCTTTCCCTCTCCCCCCATCAGGCCTTAGAGGTGTGGGAAGTTTCATGGAGTTATTTAGGTTCCTTTCGTGAGGTAGCTTGGGAACTTAAACCTTATGTTTCTAAAGAAAATAAAATACAAATGATAACATAAATTTCAGCTCTGACGTAAGATTTGGACAGGAGGTGGGGAGATGATTTTGAAATCTTGCCTCATGTCATAGAGAAGATTATATTCCATATTATTTGAAAGTTACAGATGAAGAATTAAAAACAGCTGGAGTGGGACTTCCCTGGTGGTCCAGTGGTTAAAAATCTATCTGCCAGTGCAGACATGAGTTCGATCCCTGGTTCAGGAAGATCCCATATGCCACAGATCACACAGCTAAGCCTGTGCACCACAGCTACTGAGGTTGCTGCTCTGGAATAAGAGAAGCACCTCAATGAGAAGCCCTTGCACCATAACTAGAGAAAGCCTGTGTGTAGCAGCAGTGAAGGCCTAGTGCAGCCAAAAATAAATAAATACTAAAAAAAAAAGCTGGAATGAATATTTTTCTAATCTGTGAATCAGCAGGAGCTTTGAAAGCGTGAAAGCAGGGACTTCCCTGGTGGTCCAGTGGTTAGGACTCTGTGCTCCCAACGTAGGGGGCACAGGTTCAATCCCTGGTCGGGGAACTAAGATCTCACATGCTGCACAGCACAGCCAAAAAAGAAAAGCGTGAAAGCAGTGAAAGTAATCTCAAAGGGAAAGATGGATGAGTTAAAAAATAAAAGCTTGCATAGACTAATAATAAAAGATTAGAAAAAATCTACAAGAGTCAATCACTGGGGGAAAAACATCACAAAGATCCCAAGAGAACAGTGAATGAAATATGGCTAGGCATTTTGGAGGAGTAAATATGCCTTATAAATGTGTACGAAAAGGTTATTGCCCCAATGAAAATAATAGATCATGGCAAATTAATTCGTCTTTGTGGCCAGGGTACAGCGAAATGGACTCTTACTCCTTGTGAGAATATAAATAGGTGAAGATACTCTGGAAGTCATCTTATTTCTGTATTTCTGTATTTTTGATCCTTAAAAATGTCATTATCCTCTCCCTACTAATTTGCTATACACGTTTGTATGTTTAGATAAGAGTGGAAGAAAATTAGAGAATATTTAATTGTAATGGTATGTTGATGATGGGGTTATCGGAGTTTGTTTTTGTGTGTATGTGTGTATATAAGTGTATGTGTGTGTATGGGGTTATGGGAGTTTGTTTTTGTGTGTATGTATGTGTATATGTATGTATATAAGTGTATGTATGTGTACAGATCAGTAGTATTAAGTATAATCACACTGTGGTACAGTCTGCAGAACTTCTTTCATCTGTCCAACCAAAATTACCTGGGAAATAATAATTCCCATTTCCTCTATTCGTTCTCCCCCATCCTCTGGGAACCATCATTACTTTCTGTCTATGGATTTGACTATTCATATATTTCTAACTTTTCAGATACTATAAGCAAACAAACTTAAGTTAGTAAAAAAGCAAAACCAGCCTTTGAAACATGACTCAATTGGAAGCTGAAGTCTGTATGTGTGTACTTAATGATTTCTGTTATTTTAGACCTCTCAAGCTGGATCAAAAGACAAAAAGATGGACCAACCACCTCAAGCCAAGAAAGCAAAAGTGAAGACCAGTACTGTGGACCTGCCAATTGAGAATCAGCTGTTATGGCAGATAGACAGAGAGATGCTCAACTTATACATTGAAAATGAGGTGGTTATTTTAAGTCTGCTAGAGCAATAAGCTAGAACATTAATGTGACCACAGTGTTCAAATGCAGTGTCTAGTGACCTTTATGCATTGTATGGGGCTTGGGAACAATTTAACATTTTGGGGTATTGGAGGACAAGTTTAATAGATCCCAAGATACATCATCAAAACTGTTTTATGGTGATATGTCTATTGCTAAAAACTCTTAGGAAATCGTTGACATTTCGGGGAGGTATCATTCATGATTTTGGGTGTGTGAGTTTGGTTGTTCACTAGAGATAGGGATGTTTGAGGCCAGGGTCAGGGAAGTCAATCAGTGGGAGAACTCAGAGTAGCCTTAATGTTTATTAGTTTCTTATTAGTTCAGTCGTAACTCTAGTTATGGTGAGTGGTGCAGTGTTTGGGACCTTGGGGCACAATTTTTCAATTAATTGTTGTCTGTGAGGTTTCTTATGATAGGTACACTGGGTCTTAGAATAGTTTTATAGAACCTTTAGCATCTATACTATATGAATAATTTTGGTTTTTCCTGGGTATGTAATACAAGCAGGTTATATGACAGTGAGCTAATAGTTTCTTTTAGTTCTTGTCCTAGCATTTTCCTCATTTTTACTTTTGAGTTTCAACATCTTGCTATTTCTTCTGTTGCTCTTTTTTTCCTAAGCACACCCACGAAACTCTCACTTGATCATCATAATTTACTGAGGACTAATGCTTCCAGCTCTTTTCTCGGATGATTTGCAGAACTAAAAGGATTTTGAGAAGAAGGCTTCTCTTAACTTTTGTAACTATATTACTTAAGAGGAAATTGTCTCAGTTTTTTGAATGTCTGACTACTGTTCACAGGGTAAGATGATCATGCAGGATAAACTAGAGAAAGAGAGGAATGATGCTAAGAATGCAGTAGAAGAATATGTGTACGAAATGAGAGACAAGCTGAGTGGTGAATATGAGAAGTTTGTGAGTGAAGATGTAAGTATGTGCCACAGTGTGTCTGCTCATTTTGTGTCTTCTGGGAGGATCCTTAAATGTACTTAAAAGTGATGTTTTACATCTGTAGGTATAGAGTAAAATGATTAAAAATATTTTTGAGGGGACAGTTTTATATAGTTTTGTTTTATACAGTATTGGTGGAGTGTTTCCTGAAGGTTAGTCTTTGTGCATCATTTTTTTTTTTTTTTTTGGTGTGTCACTTTTTGATACACTTGCATGCTATTATTTACCTAGTATTTTTCTTAAAGAAAAGCTCACTTTTCTCCTGGTGTTTATTTTAACTCATTAGAAAAAGATTTAGGTATAATTGACATATCATTTTCGTTGTTTCAGATGTACAGCATAATGATTAGATGTTTATATACATTGTGAAATGATTACCACCATAAATCTGAACATGTATCACTACATATACTTAATTTTTTTTCCTGTGATGAAAACTTTTAAGATTTATTCTCTTAGTAGCTTTCAATACAGTGTTATTTACTATTAACTCACTTATTTTTAAACGTAATTTTTAATTCTGAAATTTTCAAACATATCCAAATGTTTCCTACAGTGGAGAAAATAATGTAATAAACCCCCTTGTACCTATAAAGCAAAATAAGATTGTGTCAGTCTTGTTTCCTATATCCCCATCTCCCCACTACCTCATGTTTTAAAGAAAATTCCAGATGTATCATTGTCTGTGACTATTTCTTTATTCCTGAGTCAACCAGTTTTTGATCGACTTAATTGCATTGTTTCCTTCATCTTTAGGACCGTAACAATTTTACCTTGAAATTAGAAGACACTGAAAATTGGTTGTATGAGGATGGAGAAGACCAGCCAAAGCAAGTTTACGTCGATAAATTGGCTGAATTAAAAGTAAGTGATTCTTGAAAGCGAAATGTTGTACTTTGCATGGAGAATATCTCAAAATTGTAATTCTCATGTTAAATGAAGGCAGGTTGAAAGTGATTGAAAAGCTATACTTTTTATCACTTAGTTCCACTGTCTGTCTGTCTTTTATTTTACTTATTTTTTTCTTTCTTTCTTTTAAAACTTCATGATAACAAAAGAGTTTTTCTGAAAATTGAGTTCAGGCATAAAATTTTTTACCGAATTGGAGCTGGAGTGTGTTTTTAGTGTCAGGGAATTGAAAGACTAACAGGATGTATTCCTGTCCTCCAACAGGCAGTGGCAGTGCAGGTGGGGCAGGGCTGTGTGTATACAGCTTCGACTCTCAGTAGAGCAGAAGTGACTGGTTTTGTATTTAAAGAAGTGATAGTTACACTTTAGAGTTAAAAGTCCAAAGAATTATTTAAAGTTGAGGCCTCTTGTTTGGAAAAAGATGCAAGTACACAGGAACTTTTTCCATTGCTGGTTACTTGGTTTCTTGTTAAACTGTTCCATTGTGACTGACCTTTGGAGTGAAGTTGCTCAAGGACAGCAGGTGACGCAGTTTCCTGTCATTCTGGCAAGAGTGTTCAGAGTCTCCAGGGAGATCCTGCTCATTGAGTTTTTTTATTTACTTTTTTTTATGGTACCTGTCTAACACATGGAGGGAGACAGAATAATAGTTTCAGCTGTTGTCAGCTTATGTCCAGTTTTGTTCCATTTCTGCTCCTTCCCACTTCCATTTATTTTAAGCAAGTCTGTTAGGTTATAATTAACCCCAAAATACATCAATGTATATTTAAAAGAAAATGTAACCTTATGCTGTACCATTATCACATGTATAAAAATTCCTTAACATCACTATTAATATCACCATATATGTTCAGTCAGGTTTGAAGTTCCAGTTGTTACGTAAATTATTTTTTAGCTTCTTTGATCAGGATCCAAGTAGGGCCCATACATTGTGTTGATATATCTCTTAAATCTGTATCTGTAGTTCTCCTTCCATCATTTTCTCTTCCTTTACTTGGTGAAAAAACTGAATCATTTGTCCTGGAGAATTTATTCCCAGTTTATATTTTATTCCTTTACCCCTTTGGTGTTTTATCTTATTGGTAAATTTATGGTTAGAGCTGGAGGCTTTGTAAGATACAGATTTAAACATTTTTGGCAAGTGTATGTCATATACAGTGTTGTGTATCACTGTCAGGAGGCATCTAATTTTTGGTTGTCCCCCCATTGTATTTTGAGAACTAGGGTTCAGGTGACAAGTTGAAGTGGATCCACATGGAACAGTATTGATGTATATTCTAATGAAGCCTGAGGGTAATATTTCAATGGTCTGGGGAAAAATATTCAACTTCTTATATATAGGACACAAAGATTAAATGTATTTTAATTCATAATCAATCTTAGTAGAAAAATACTGCTTTGTTAGTTTAAACTCCCCTGTGAAGAATTTGTATATTCTCTCTTCTATTAAGAATTTAGGTCAGCCTATTAAGGTGCGATTCCAGGAATCTGAAGAAAGACCAAAATTATTTGAGGAACTAGGGAAACAAATCCAACAGTATATGAAAGTAATCAGCTCTTTCAAAAACAAGGTATCTTTTTCTTTTCTTTTCCTCTTCCCTAAACTAATGTTTTGGTAGAGTTTTGAGACATTTTTGTAGCAGTTTTTTCTGTTATTTAATAACATTGTTTTCTTTTTGGATGTTAATGACATGTATAATGTTTTATTTAACCTTATTAAAAACCTTGGGATTTGCTGCTTCTCTTTAGTAAGGAGACTTAGTAATTGAGCAGTATTACTCAGTTTCCTTTTCTTGTTATGAAATGTTTCATTAGTGAGTTAACTTGCTCTAATCTGGTTTTAGAACACATTAGGCAAATAATTTAGTTTGTAGGACTGTTTCAACAATAAACTACGGGTGTATCATTTTCTTGAGTACTATATGATACTCCAAAATATATTATATCATTAAATCCACACAGTACATTTATGAAATAGGTGGTTTAATCCTTACCCAGGTTACTCTTGGGGGAGCTGGGATTTGGCCTGTGGTCTGGGTTGCTCCCAGACTTTGGTCAATAGTTTGGTTAATTCTACTATTATACTCTAGGTTCTTGATGTATTGTCAGTGTTCAGTTCAGTTCAGTTGCTCAGTTGTGTCCGCCTCTTTGTGACCCAATGAACTGCAGCACACCAGGCCTCCCTGTCCATAACAGCTCCCGGAGCCTACCCAGACTCATGTCCATTGAGTCGGTGATGCCATCCAACCATCTCATCCTCTGTCATTCGCTTCTCCTCCTGCCCTCAATCTTTCCCAGCATCAGGGTCTTTTCAAATGAGTCAGCTCTTTGCATCAGGTGGCCAAAATATTGGCGTTTCAGCTTCAACAGCTGTCCTTCCAATAAATACCGAGGACTGATTTCCTTTAGGATGGACTGGTTGGATCTCCTTGCAGTCCAAGGGACTCTCAAGAGTCTTCTCCAACACTACAGTTCAGAAGCATCAATTCTTCAGCACTCAGCTTTGTTTATAGTCCCAACTCTCACATCCATACATGACTACTGGAAAAACCACAGCCTTGACTAGACGGACCTTTGTTGGCAAAGTAGTGGCTCTGCTTTTTAATATGGTGTCTAAGTTGGTCATAATTTTCCTTCCAAAGAGTAAATGTCTTTTAATTTCATGGCTGCAATCACCAACTGCAATGATTTTGGAGCCCCAAAAAATAGTCAACCACTGTTTCCCCATCTATTTGTCATGAAGTGATGGGACCAGATGCCATGATCTGTTTTCTGAATGTTGAACTTTAAGCCAACTTTTTCACTCTCCCCTTTCACTTTCATCAAGAGGCTCTTCGGTGGTTCTTCATTTTCTGCCATAAGGGTGGTGTCATCTGCATGTAAGAAACTTAAATACAATAAATTAAGCTTTCCAAAAAGATTAATTTTAAAATTTTACTTCTGAAAGGATTTTTAAAAAACTGTATTCATAATTATTTTCTTAACTTTGATGCCTAAACCACCAGTCTCATATCTAATGACATGGCCTTTTTTTTTTTGCATTGTAAAATTATATTTATTTGCACAACTCTATAAGATTTTGTTTGTGTAAAGCATGTGCTGTTTATACTGCTGAAACCTTTTAATTGCCACCTTATGTATTCCTTTTGATCTTGAAATGCATTTCCTCTGTTTTAAAAATTGAGGTTACTTTCCTTTATTGAATTTTTAGGGAATTGAATGTGTAGCTTGTGAGGCTAGATGGGCTTTATTTTGGGAAAGATTGTAACTTTTTGGAAGATGCTGAAGAACTGGGCAGTATTTGAGTAGGGGATGTATCATTCTTTGATGCTTGTCTGGTTGGCTTCTGGTTGTAGGAGGACCAGTATGATCATTTGGATGCTGCTGACATGGTGAAGGTGGAAAAAAGCACGAATGAGGCCATGGAGTGGATGAATAACAAGCTGAATCTGCAGAACAAGCAGAGTCTGACCATGGATCCAGTTGTCAAGGCAAAAGAGATTGAAGCTAAAATTAAAGTAATTCATGATTTTAAAGATATAATAGTTTTTTCTAGTCAGTATTGGTATTTTTAATAGAGAATTTCATTACTCCATCTTTGCTTACATCTTGGGGATAGGCTAGGATAGGAGAGGGTGGACTTGGATTTTAGTATGCTATGTAAAATTTGTTATAAGAAACCAGTTTCCTCTCCTGTTGTTGTAGGAGCTGACGAGTATCTGCAGCCCTATTATTTCAAAGCCCAAACCCAAAGTGGAACCTCCAAAAGAGGAGCAAAAAAATGCAGAGCAGAATGGACCAGTGGATGGACAAGGAGACAACCCGGGCCCTCAGGCTGCTGAGCAGGGTACAGACACAGCTGTGCCTTCGGATTCAGACAAGAAGCTTCCTGAAATGGACATTGATTGATTCCAACAATTGTTTATATTAAAACAGACTATTATAAAGCTTTAAGTTGTCAACTTTGTTCTAAATATCAACTAGAGCAATTAAATACTGGAGATTTCTTAGTCAGTTTTTAGGGAACTTGAGGGGGAGGGGATATCCGTAATGTATGGAGCATTTTGACTTCTAAATAGTTAGATACAGAAATGAAGTGCATTGTATCTTTTTCATAATGGTACTATTTAGAAGCCCAGTTAGTCTTACTGAGCTTATGCTTCACTCCTTTTATGTTTAATCATGCTTATACAAAGAGAAGTTTGTTTTAGAAAGTTGAGCTATAGCACAAGCTATACCTAGCTATCAAGCAAACTTTTTGTTATGACATAAATGACAGGAACTCTTAATTGTGCTTAAAAATTCTGCTGTGGAGGTTGCCACAATGGCTCCCTGCCTGGTGTGGGGATCGGGGAGGGATCACCCTCTGTTTCTGAGGGGCTAGAGCATGGCATAGATTAACATAGAACAACAAAGGTGTGCTCTGAGCTTCACGTGTCACTCTGCTCTCTTGGGACTCCCACCCCATCTTCCCGTCTTTCCCAGATAAAAGGGGTTCCCATTACAAATGCCGTGTGTTGCTCTTGGGAAAATAGACCCTTTCACCTGGAGCAGGTTGTTAACTGAGGATTTCTAAACCTGGAGGTTCTTCCTGAGAATGTATATTTCTGAAAGTATGTTCATTAATACCCCAAGCATCAAAGTCTAAATAATTTTCTCTTCAGAAAGTTAGAATTGGGTAGATGTATTGTTGGATATAGGCATGGTAAATTTAACTGAGGGATTGATTCTTGTTAATAATGGTATAAAGATTTGTATCCTGGCCTGCTTGTTCAGGTGAGAGAGATTCTGTGTAAATTTGAGGTATAGCTTGAAGTCTTAGGACAAGAGTTAAAAAGTTCTTTTTTGGCTCATTCACAGTCACTTATGTGTTAAGCTTTAACATCTGTCATGAATCTGCCAATGTGTATGTGTTAAACAGCTGACAGACTGTACAGAAAACTAAGATGCACTGGATTGTACCGGATGAGTCTGAAGTTAGTGTTAAAAAAGTGTGGTGCCTGACTTTAGCAGTGCCTCATTCTTACTCTGCAGTCACCGTCAGGAGCACCAGAGCATTCCCTGTGACTGCGCCTTGGGCGCTGTTGATAGGAGTGAGGCATTTCGGGAACTCTAAGGGAAACCTGTAGTGTTAGAGCCCAGAGCTGTCTTTGCCCTAGAAACTGTTACAAGCTTTGTTGGTTACATTCTGGACCTTTGTAATAATTGTTAATCTGTATAACAGAGTGCTTCTCTGTTACTTTTGACTTATGTTAGAAATAAGAGTATAACTTGCATATTTAGAATGAGTTTCTGTCCATCTCTGCACTAAAAAATTCAGACTGTTACAAGCTCTAAAGTGCTGTACAGAAATGTCACTTAGAGGAGGAAGGTGGAAGTGTATTTATGTTGGTGTGTAAGCATGCATGGAAGCCTCGCAGCACCAGGACTTGGCCCTGTTCTTAGAACATGCTTTGTCCATTCTCTACCTGTCCCACTTCAAGAGTTCAGCTGGCCTGCTGTGAGGCCAGGAGCTCCTTTGGAGTGCTGGCTGCAGGATTAAGCCAATGCTTATGCAACTTGACTCAGTCCTTAATGGCCATTTCTTCTAAAATTTTCTTTTGTGTGTGGGGAGGGTGTGGGACTTGGGATGGGGTTGAATTTGAGGTTTAAACTAGAATTAAGATGATGTGGTCTTCTTGCTCTCTGTTTAGACAGGCTTGCAGACCAATTGAATTTACATGGAGGCCAGACCAGAGAGTAACAGTTGATGACTTGTGTGCAGACAAGCATTTATCCAGGTTGCATTATCTAAATTGGTTTGTTAAAGCTCCAAGTTACATTCTTACACAAAGAAAAACATTCAGTAAACATGAGACAAGTTTAGGAAAACTTAATAAAAAGAAACCTGTCTTACACTCTTAAGGAATGGTTTTTTTAATTTCATAATTGTGTGTGTGTTTCTGTGTTTTCAATAAAAAATTTTCTCTGGAGGCAAGAGTCCTCTTAGCTAAATTCCAAGTTGTTAACTTTTGTCAGTGATCTCCATTCTGAAGAACATTCAAGGCTCAGCACCTTGGGTTGTAAGCAGTAGTTCTCTTTCCATACTCAGCTGCCCATGCTGAGTCTCAGCCCGGTTCTCTGGGCTCCTTACTTTGCTCCTGTAACTGGGCCTTATTTTGAGGGTTTTTAAAATAGCAGGGGGTGAGTTACGGCCCCACGAAGGCCAGTGCCAGGACTGCTGCCTGCCCTTTCAGAGAATAGGACATGGCCCAGAATGTGCTTTTAATAGTGGCTACCATAGCAGTTGCAGTAGTGCGCGCACGCATGTGTGTGGGGGTGGGGGATGGTGAGTGCGGAAAGGGGATGAAGCCACCAGAAGAGACAGTGAGTGTACAAAGCCTGGGGCCGAGACGAGGAGGGGCACAGGGCCTTCCTGTAGTCCTGCCACTCAGTAGTCCCATGCTAGGCCCACCAAGAGAGCCAGTACTTGGTGCTTTCAAGAAGTGTCTGGAGTAAAGTTGGTTTTCTCTGGGCCTCTGTCTGGGGGAATAGTGGACACCTGGTAGTGTGAGTGGGAAGCCTGGGCCCAGCCAAGTAGCTACTGATTATCCAGAGTGTAGCCATTTTATAGGGATGTTGGGAGTTGCGTGTAAAGTATTGCAGACCTATTTACCTGGGAGAGGTACCAGCCTTTTCTGTGTCACTGGGGAAGAGGGTGTTGGAGGTAGAGCTAGGGCTGGTGTTGAAGGTTTTGCAATGGAGCAGCTACAGATTAATGTGAAGAACTTGCACAGCTCCCATGGGGTTGGTGAGGATTCACACAGGCTTTAAACCAGTGACTTCTGAGATGCTTTGCAAGCATCTTAAGGGACTTTGTAGGGGAACTGTCAGAGGTGAAAGAGGTGGTAGGGCTTGCTAGGGCTGAGAGACGAGTCCTGGTGTGGAGCACTGGGCTTCTAGCCCGAGAGTGACAATCTTTTAGGGATGCCTGTGTGATACATGCAGAGTGATTTGGACCTGGGGGAAGTTGGAGGTAATAGAACTTTTAAAATCCATGTTTTAGGGTTGTGAACCAAAAGAAGGGATAAATGGTAAATCTTGGTCCTGGAGGAAAAGGGAAGATAGAAAAGTGATTTTTAAAAAACCATGCTGTTAGAAGCAGGGGGAGTAGCCAGTCTTTATGGGTTAACGACAAGGGCACGCAGGCCAGGCTTCAAGGACCAATTGGCATATTATTGATCTGGCTTTTGGTAATACACTTCTGTATATTTGGTTGATTTCAATCATTTTTCTTTAAGTGGCTTTAACAGATCATTTCTTACGTAAAATTTGTCAGTTATAAAACAATATGCACAATTTCTTGTTTGGAAAGAACATGGAATGTGTTTGCATAAAAGTCAAATCTGGCTAGATGTTTTGAAATGGGTTTTTCTCAAGGTGGGGTTGGAGTGATTTTTTTGTTATTAAATTTTTGCTTGTGTTTTCTAAGATTTCTGTAATAAGCATTTTGGAGTTTTGTAGTGTTAAGTAAATTAGCGTATTTGATTTATTTTTAGATCTTTCTTTTGGTTTTGTTTTACTTTATTTTTGTATTTATTTGATTGCACCAGGTCTTCATTGTGGCTCGTGGGCTTTTTGATCTTTGTGGTGGCATGCAGGATCTTTTCAGTTGTAGTAGGCATGCGAACTGTTAGTTGCGGCATGTGGGATCTAGTTCCCTGACGAGGGATCAAATCTGCTTTGGGAGCGTGGAGTCCTAGCCACTGGGCCATGAGAGAAGGTCCCTAGAAGTATATGTTAAGAAGAATGGCTCCACGGTTTCAAAACTGGAACGAAGGACACAATAAACAGATGGAGCTCCTGGTCTGTAGGAGTCCACGCAGATGCTCTTGGGAGTCTGGATAAGATTAGGAAGTTGTATAACATGGAGCTGAGGGGTCCTGTAGCTACAGCTGCTGTGGAAGGAAGCTTTGGAGGTCAGGGTGTGTCCCTGCCTTAGGGAGTAAAGGATGGTTTATTGGCTGTGTCAGGAAGAAGTGGGGGCTTTGAAGGAAACAAGGAGCTCCCAGAGGGGAATGACCATGCCTTAGGCATGTTAGGGAGGAGGGGCTTTGAGAGTGAGAGGCGGCAGTGGCTGGTGGGGTTAGCGGCTGTGGGGGTCCTTTAGGAGCATGCGGTGAGGCCTCCGGTGGAGGAGAGCGTTTGGTCAGGAAGCTTGGCCTAGTTAAGGGGTCAACTTGGGTCGGAAGGAGGTTAGGCAGCATCCTAGGCCCACTGTCCTGTGTGCAAATGGGGAGAATTTGCACCAGTTACCTGGAGACTTGCATTTCTTCCCTGGGTAGTGCTCCCTTGCTTCTGGCTGGAGCAGCCCTGGGATATGACCCTCACTGCCCTGGTCATCTGAGCTGGATACCGCACTCTGGGGCATGTGCCATAGAAAAGAAGGAGGGGACCTCTTAAGCAGCAGGCTAGAGGCAAAATGGGAAAAAGGCCATGTTGGGGTAGAAGCACCAAGAGGATAAAGGAGGGAGTGCATTTCTGGTGGATCAGAGAAGGGAGGACCTCAGAAGATGTGAACTAGATACAGAATGCTTTCCAGATCCATCCAATGTACATGAGCAAGTGCCAGGCTAATCCTGACCTTGTCATTCTGGTTTTGATATAGCGATAAGGGCAGGGAGGGAGAGTAGGGGAAATATTTACTTCTAACCTGGGATTTGCTGGTTTCAAAAACAACCAACAGGACAAAAAAAAAAAAAAAGCTGTGTTTGGGGCCCTTTTTCATTAGTTGGGTCTGTGTTTACATCCTTCAAAGGCCAGGTGAACTTGTAAGATATGGAGTCCTGGATCATGTTAGATCAAAATTCATATCTCAATTAAGCAGGCCCTTACCACGTACATTGTTTTTTCTATGTGCATTTTAAAAT